ATAATTCTGGATTATTCTATTCCAGTTCAACACTCGAGAGAGTCAGCTCTTTTCTCAAAAACATTTCGCAGACAAGTAGCGTCGCTGTCATGCAGGATCCCCTTGTCTCCTGAGCTTTTGTTATCTGCGTTGCATAGTATTAACCTGTAGTATCCTAGGTAGTGTATACCTGAAATCTACAGTTAACTCGAAAAATGCTCTAATCAATGCTGTAGTGTCCTGGGTAGTGTATACCTGAGATCTACAGTTAACTCGTAAAAATGCTCTAATCAATGCTGTAGTATCCTGGGTAGCGTATACCTGAAATCTACAGTTAACTTGCAAAAATGGTCTAATCATTCCTGTAGTATCCTGGGTAGTGTATACCTGAAATCTACAGTTAACTCGTAAAAATGCTCTAATCATTCCTGCAGTATCCTGGGTAGCGTTATTTGTTGTTGTTTTCTCTAAAAATCCGGGTGACCAAAACGCGCGGATGCTTGAATGCGAGATTTCACCACGGCTTACAATGTAGAATGAAATTTCCGACAATTAATTAGCCCTTATTTTATTGCCTTGCAAGGTATCAATAATATTGAAACTCAAAGGTCGTATAAAAACGGCGGTTAATCTCGAGAATCTCAACTTTAAAAAAATCTATCAAGCGGTTTCAAAATTTCAAGTAGACCAAAACGTTTACAAACCCGCTAATAAGAGCGCCACCTTACATACTAATCAAATCCTCCTTTCTAGCAATCGGCTAAAGCTAACTCAATGGTGTTCCACACACGTTTTTGACTAAAAAGAATTTAAACTACTATGAGGTGAAATTGCATTTCAACGCACTTCGTTTTCTATAGATAAGGGCCAAACATCAAGATTGTACAATTTTTACCGTATTTCGAAGTTTCTAATTAACCATAAATACTTCATCCGAAAATATCTCGATAATGCTCTTATTTCGCTTAAATTTCAAGAACATTGTGGCGGCTAGCAGAGGAAATAGCTTCCGTGAACGATTTTGGAAGAACAGTTCCCATTGGCGAGAAAAACAGCTGCAAGTATAATTGGTATTGGCGTCATTTCATTGCCATGACAACGGCTTGTCCGCCCGAAATGCAGTCAAAACCTGCCAATAAGAACCTACTTTTTTTGAAGTCTGGCAAAATAGGTTCTTTTATTTTGGGGTACCTATTGGCAATTTAGGCTAGAGATAGTAATAGATTGTCGATTAGCAGAAAAATAAATAAACTTTTTACCTATTCATAATTTTTTATTATAACCCTAACAAGACTCGATTTATTGATCCTTCAGAAGCAAGTTCAAGAAAATACAAAGCTTCTGTCGATGGAAAATATTCAAAAACAAGATGGAAATGCTTTAGGTGTCGAGCTCCTCGACTACAAAAAGAAGTGTGAAAAGTTATTATCCACTGTATCTAAAAAAGACAATGCAATTAATGAGTTGGAAGAAAAATGTTTGCTCCTTGAAAGCCGAGTTCTGTCATTAGAGCAAGAAAATGATTCTTTAAAGTTAGCACTAACAATCATTACGCGAGAAAAGAGTGAAGTTGAAAACAATCAACTACAATCAAGTGATCGTTGGTCCGTAGCAAAGCCGCACCCGAGAAGTACAAATGCAAAACATAGGCAGAAAACAATGCCCACTAATATAATTCAAACCCGTAACGGATTTGAGCCTCTTCAAGTTGAAGATCAAATTGAAAGAAATGTAAGCAATCAGAATGGGAATAGCGCTGTCAAAGGACACAGAACATCTCCGTCGTCCTCAGAGATCAGAACGCGCAACGCTGACTTAATCAATTCGTCAAATCAACTTGATCATTCACAGCCCAACCGTCAGAAGAAAGTTATTATAGCGGGGGATTCTACTCTTAAATACCTACAAAGCCATAAAATGTCCAAGAATTCACAAGTTAAGATAGCCACCTTTCCGGGATGCACAACGCAAGACATGAAGGATCATATCAAGCCACTACTACGCAGAAACCCAGACGAGATAATTATCCATGTGGGAACCAATAGTTTACGATCCTCCAATACTCCTCGTGAATGTGCAGTAGAACTGATTGACCTAGCCGAAGCAGTCAGCTCTGAATCCTCAGCTATGATATCTATATCCGGTCTCATCAATAGATCTGATGATGAAGCCCTTGCATTTAAAGCTTGCTTGAGGCAACAAATGCTTGGTCAGTAAACATCGACAATGGCCTTCTAAATGGCGTTGTCTTTATTGACCTTACTAAGGCATTCGACACCATTGATCATGAGATCATCTTGCGTAAGATGTCGTACTTGGGTGTCGATCAGGCAGCTATAAAATGGTTCTCGTCGTACTTAAGTGGCCGAACCCAAAGATGTAATGTCAGTGGCAAACTATCATCTGCTCGTACCCTCAGTTGCGGCGTGCCGCAGGGTAGCATATTGGGTCCTTTGCTATTTTTAATTTACATTAATGATCTTCCCAACTCCCTGCGGGGCGCCGTACCAAGAATGTTTGCCGACGACACCAACCTTACGTTATCTGCTAAGACGTTAACAGAGCTTAAGCTAGCTCTAACCCCTGAATTAAATAACCTTAGCTGTTGGCTGAAAGCTAACAAGCTCAGTCTAAATGTTGCTAAAACAGAGCTAATGATTATTGGATCAAGACAAAGACTATATGCCCAATGTGACGATGTAGAAATCAGAATTGATGACCAAATTATTAAGAGAGTCGATCATACCAAATCCTTGGGTCTTACCATAGATGCTCAACTCTCTTGGGGTAAACACGTTGAAGAGATTTGCAAGAAAGTCTCTTCAGCTATAGGCGCCCTAAAACGTGTGCGGCCCTTTATATCCAAAGAAACTGCAATTCAAATTTATAACGCTTTAATTATGCCTCATTTTGATTACTGCAGCCCCGTCTGGGACTGTTTGAGTGGTTACTTGAGTGATAAGCTCCAAAAATTACAGAATCGTGCAGCCAGAGTTATTACTAAATCACCCTTTGATGCGAGCTCAAACCACCTTCTCTCCACCCTCAGCTGGGAGAGGCTATCTCTTCGACGAAAGAAACAAAAAGCCGTAATGATGTATAAAACCATGAATGACCTTGCTCCAGAATATCTGCAAAGTCTTTTCTCTCAGCGTCACTCTGCTTACAACTTAAGAAACTCTGAGGGAAGGCTGACCTTGTCCAAACCAAGCACCAATTATTTGAAACGAAGCTTCTCTTACAGCGGGGCCATGTTATGGAATAACTTGCCCAAAAACTTAAAAAACGCTCCATCCGTTGAGCATTTTAAGCGAAATATCAAGAAGGTAGCTGATATATCGGATTCCCACACGGCAATCATGTAAAGCAGTTGTAATTAGTTTTAGTTTTTAACTTAAGCTTAACTGATGATTTCCCGTGTTTAAATAAAGATTTACATACATACATACAAAACTGGTTACCAAATTTTTATACAGTTTAGTATAGTATGGTCTCGTTATACTTAAATTTAGCAGCTGTTTACTAGGAACTTCAATTCAAGCCACTTTTGTCTTTGCTGTTTTGTTATATCTAAAATTATTTGTATCTTTCGTTTGCTTGATTGAACATCCTCAGTTATAAGTGGCGCCTCAGTATTAAAATAATTGCTGTTAACTTACAGGCTTGGCCAGCCTCGCACCAGAGCAATGTTGGATATTTATCTCATTTTACGCAGTAAAAAATTTTTACAGCAGAAAGAAAAGAAGAAAATTTAACAGGTTTCAAGTATTACAAAGGATACCAGGAGGTGAATAATTGTACACTCCACAGATCAGAACAGCTAGAGAATGTTAAACATTTTTCTAGAACGCCGGGATTTTTTTTTTATAGCCATGGCATGGCTTACTAGTTTCCTTTCCATAAACGCTTGATGCATATGTTTAATTATTTAACTGCAACCAGGATAAATAATTATCTCAGTGTTTGTGCGAAGAAAAGAAAATATTAAGTTCCGAACAACGATTCTGTAGTTTAAATATCGCGGAGCTTCTTAACGTAAAACAAATTATCATCATCTAGTATCTAATAGTCAAAATAGTCGTTCTTTGTTCAAGCAAACGAAGCTGATTCAGCAGGTAGTGAGTTGCAGTTATTCATCTCCTTTTCTTTTACTTTTTCGTCAGTACCGTCTAAAGCGTCACAAGTTTAACCACGCGCGCCGCAGACTCTACGGGAGTTCGTTGGACTTCGAATTTATAAGGGAATGAGAAATGCTGTTTTTTTCGCTATTCGCTGAGAATGGGACAATGTTTTTGCAAAAGGTCATATTTAATACACCGCTGCTGCGTTTCAGAGGTGTTAAACTGGAACATGATAAACGCACTTCCATCAGTCGAGGGCAACGTGACATGTACATGTAAATGAGTTGATCCAATGGATACGAGTTCTTTTTGCGGTTGTGTTGTTCAATTGTCTCTATTCACTAAAATTTTGCTTGGCCATTGTTTCCACTTTCTCCTACGAGAAATAGGAGACAATGGTTATGCAAATTTTTTTGGCAGGAAAACAAGCCCGGGGGAGAGGGTTGTACTCCGGATTTCAGGTGACGGGAATGATAGAAGGATTTTTGGGTTTGAAATTTTCTATTCCGGTTTTTTTTTTGTAGGAAAATTTGGGTGGCTTGATTTAAGTAGGGATTTTTTTGGTATTCAAAACAATCTGAAGATTTGTGCCCGCGAATGATAACTTCAGATTTTGCCGAAGAAACAAGGGCACAAACATTCATTTCCTAATGTTTTTAGCTTTCGTGTTATACCATTTAATGCCTTCTGGAAATTCTAATGGCTCGGAAATTCGGGATGGGATTTTTTGTGGGTTAATTTTAGGTGCAGGGATTCTTTTGGGTTTTAATTTTTGCCCCCATTCGATCTCCCGTCACTTGAAATCCTGAGTATCCCCCCCGGACCCGGCTAGGTAAACAAGGTGCATTATGGTCTGCGTGAAAACAGTGTATGGTAACGGCATTGCAGGAACAAGTCAAGATGGAGAACGCTTACCACAAACCAGACGAGAGGACGCTTCAAGCTTTGCAAGACATAGCGACTAAACTACGGATTCACAGCATAGAATCTACGAATGCAGCTGGTTCAGGGTATGTATTTAATTAAAACATGGGTGTAGTGGAGTTTCGACTTAACGACCCTCAAAGTATCTATACTATTAACGAAGTTTTCGGTATAACGAACGGTAGCATTCTTCGCGACAGTAAAAGTCAAATATATAAAGAAAGCCCCTCGATAATTATAAAACGAAACCTCGTCATAGTAAACGTATTTTGCCACTCCCTTGGCCCTTCGTTATTCCGAGCTTCTACTGTAGAACATTCGCCTAATCAAATTCAACATCTCGAGCGTGCTTCATGATCATACTGAGCACGTGGTGTTGCTATGGCGCGTGAACATCATTTCTGGCAATGTTTTCGCTCAAAAATATATTTTTTTTGTGCGTGAATAGCTTTCCATGTCAATATGGATTCTAAAATCTTTTTTAATATTATCTAACCTTAAGCGACTTCTGTCAACGTTCGCTATGGGAATTTCGACTATGGAGCGACTTCGTTTCAACCGCATTTACGACGACCATTGTACCGTGAAAATTAATATTGAGTCTGCTATTAAATTAAGTTCGATGTCTGAATCAACCGTCGAACTTGTGTCATTGACATGGGCACGCAACGACGATTTCCGTTTAAATGTATTGAAAACACTTTTTAGGCTGCCCAGGGTATTTTTAGATCTTAACAAATGTATTCTGAGCGGCGCTCTTAAGTGTCTGTTCGATCATCTTCTAAGGGCAACTTGAGTCTCTACAAACTACAAGTGCTTCAGTCTTACTTTCCCGAAAATTTTAGATGCAATTTAAGAGCGGATGTCAGTAAATATCGACCAGAGGTCTGCAAAAGCGAAAAATCGAAAATTCTCAGAAAAATTCACAAAGTAGCACTAGGAAAGTTGTTAACATGTAAAATTTCTACTTCGATCCGATATTTATCTTAGAACCAAGAACGAGATGTCCAAAGACTACTGCAAAGCTGATTTAAAACAACGTGTATTGTTTTTTTATAACAATATTTCGGCTGGCCATAGCAGCCTTCTTCAGGTTTACAGATGTTACTGAACGTATGTAGCAATCACAATATTATATAGAAGGAGAATGTCTCACTAAAACGGAGAGGCGGAAATAACGTACAACATAAGAAAAACTGGAATCAATTGTGGAATCGCACGCAGTTGCGACACGTAGTATTGGTTTCGCGGCGGACCGGATTTTACAGGCCCGAGACGGTGTGTCACGAAAAAATCGTTTTAAAAATCAAGTCAATTGTAATTCGAACGGCAAATAACTTATTCGGAAAAGTACATAATTATACACATTTTAAGGGGGATTTAATCAGTTTCAACGAAAGTGCAATATTTTGGAGATTTTTCATTATTTTCAATATTTTGAACGTTTCCGTTGGATGAAAAAATGGCAAATTTCAAAGCCTAAAATCGTAGACTGGTACCTCGATTTCAGTGAAGAGTCTTATACCACGTTAAAGAGCGTTATCTCTTCTTTCAAAATCTGTTTTCAAAACCATGGGCTACTTAAAAGGAAATTTTTGAGGACAAAAACGTTTCTGAAATTTGAGCTTTCCTCGCTCAGCGGGGCGATGCTAAAAACTCGGAAAACACTATAAGAGATCAGTTTGAGCAACAGTGGTTCGATGTTATCAGTTTTCATAAACCAAGACGTGTTTATCCAGCGATCTGATATAATTTAAAACCGTTTGCTAACATTTAAGCTCTCAACTCCTGCCAAGTGCACGTTGTCAAAGGGCAAAGCACTAATTAAAAAAGTCTTAAAATTTAAAACGTTTTACGTCCAGGAAGTCATATTTTAGCGTACAAAATAATGTTGTGAGTGTTTGTTGTTCTAACCCCAGATCAACAACAGCAAAAATCCAAACGGCAAAGAATGCGTCACATTTCACAGAACGACCGCTTATCACTGTTGTCACTCTTTGCGTGCTTTCTCTGGAAGCTCGAGAAGTTTTCATTCCTTTGGTATGATTCTTGATCAGCGCTTCCTTGAAAGTACGAACCCGGACAGAATCAGATAGGATGAGGACGTTTCTCAAGACTCCTGTTGTTTTTTCCAGTTTTAGTCTCCTTAGCCTTGAGCGCTCCTCTCTTGAGGTTTTCGGTGGAGTTCAGGATGTGATCCACCTAGTATTTCACGTCTCTATTAAATAAGAGGCAGCACTTCTTGCGTACAGCTGAAATCTGGAAAGTGTATATTTTTTATTCGCAGAAAGCATTATTATCATAAAATCGGGATGACTGATAAATCTTTCGCATTATATTAGTGTCTTTACCCGTCTAGACATGTCTTGCCCTTTGCTTGAAGACCTTGAAACCTCATTGATGGCGTCGCTGTTTTAATTTTTTTCCCGTAAACATTGCATCTTACCGATAACACGTTTCAAGAGAGAAAAGTTAAACAACTAATATTTGCATTTTCCTTTGTATTTATTTATTAACTGAAAATCCCGGGGGGGTACTTTAGGAATTTCTGGGTGGGGATGTGCCGCTGGGATCCTGGAACCCTTAACCTACACCAGAGCTAGTTAAGCTGAATTTTGCTACCCTATAGTAGAGTAAACTCCCCAAATCCCCCCTATCCTAGAGTAGCTGTTTTCCAGAAACTACTGAAGTCACTAGCACAGTAGTCGAGCCAAAACAAAACCTTATACCACAATCCCTAGTCTAGATAAAATCTTCAACCAACTGATCAGTTTCCTGAAAAATGATACCCTATTCTAGACCCAAACGCTCTGATTTATATACCCTATCCTAGAGTAAACTGCTTGAAAACCATACCCTTCACAGCGGCACATACCTATATAGCCCATATATGCCTGTACTCCCGCCGGGCTGAAAATATCCTGTGGAAAACACAGGATATAGCATTTCTGACGTCCAACCTTTGTCCGTGCATGTGTACACCTTCAAAACCTCACGCTACGCCCCTGGTTAGAAGCTGCTATACAAAGAAGTTTGCGTCATATATTCCGGCTGGTAAAGGATTAATTTTTGAGTGAAATTGTCAGTAAACAACAACACTGGCATGCTGAGATTTATCACAGAGGCAACAGTAAGTTAAACGTTTGATGAGAGTCTTACTTCTACCTACGATAACTCTTATTTGCTGCAATAAAGGAAAACACAATGTTATTTTTGAACTACACAGCGAAAAAAAAAATTGTGAAAATCAGAAAAAGATTGAGAGACAGTTAGTTATGAGCAGGACTTCATTGACGATAAAACAAGTTGAAAAAGGGCCGGAGAATACAGGGAACGCTCCGGCTTAGCTACACTGAACAATCCAAATTTTTTGCAGGACTTAACAAGATTTTTTCAAAAAGGACGCGTCATAGCTAAGTCGGGTCTTACTTCAAATGAAACGTGTTATTTGTACGGGAGGTTAAGATACGTGCAGGCTTGTCTAAAACAGTGACACTTTGAAACGTGGTAGGTGTCCCTCTTCGGGTCCACCCTACATATCGGGAAATCCCTCAGGTTAGGCAAGGATTCGAGAACTATGAATCCTGTTTCACCCATTTATTCACTGCGTGAATTTTTTTTTTTTTTTAGCTTATTTCGAGGAAATACTTGTTGCTTAATATCCAGGGTAAGCTTTAAAACATTTTTTGAGCCAAATGGTTTTTGCGTGAATCTGCTTACCCGAACTTTTCCTCGAAAAACGACAAATACCCGACAAATGCTCGAGTTGTTGTTAGTGTCAGCATGTTTCCGATAAATTCAGGTAAATGTCTTGTGAAGAAGAGTTCAGAACTTGATCATAAAGTATCAGTGCCGCGCGCCATGCCAGTCGTAAGTGTTGCCTCGAAATACGAGCCCAAGAACCGGTGGTAAGTGGTCAATCCGTGAGAAGTAACGCAATCTCCGTCTACCTTTGAGAGCAGTCAAAGATTCTCTTTTTTAATTCCAGTATCTAGGAAACCCATGCTAAGGTATGAAACATACACTCATAAGCATTGTTCTGTTCGGTAAAATCCAATTCCTGGACGCAAAAAGGTTGTAATTTTTAGAGTTTATCTGGTTTATTATAGTGCTTTGCTCTTTGAAAACCTTACGTGACTCGTGCACTTGGCAGCAGTTGATAGCTTAAATCTGCCTTTCATGTTAGCAAACGGTTTTTTTAATTATATCAGATCGCTGGATAAACTGTTAAACACGTATTGGTTTCTGAAAGCTGACAACATTAAACCACTGTTGCTCAAACTGATTTCTTATAGTATTTTTCCGAGTTTTTAGCATCGCCCCGCTGAGGGAGGAAAGCTCAAATTTCAGAAAAGTACTACTTGTATTTTTTGGCCTCAAAAATTTTCTTTTAAGTTGCCCATAGTTTTGAAAACAGATTTTGAAAGAAGAGATAACGCTTTTTAACGTGGTGTAAGACTCTTTACTGAAATCGAGGTACCAGTCGACGATTTTGGGCTTTGAAAATTGCCATTTTTTCATCGAACGGAAACGTTCAAAATATTGAAAATAATGAAAAAATCACCCCTTAAAATGTGTCTAATTATGTACTTTTCTGAATAAGTTATTTGCTGTTCGCATTACAGTTGACTTGATTTTTAAAACGATTTTTTCGCGACACACCGTCTCGGACCTGTAAAACCCGGTCCGAGAGCCGCGAAACCGATACCCCCCCCCCCCCCGTATGTCTGAAATAAATATCGGATCGAAGTAAAAATTATATTTATGTTAACAGCTTACCTAGTGCTACTTTGTGAATTTTTTTGAGAATTGGCAATTTTTCACTTTTGCAGACCTCTGGTCGATATTTACTGACATCCACTCTTAAAGTTTTAGGAAAGTAAATTTTTTTTTTCCGCTCTTCATCGCATTTTGGAATCAGTCATTAGGGCCATTTAAACGAGGAAAAATAAGACGCGTCTTACATAAGATCCAAACTGTACCATTCATACGAGCATGTCTTATCTAAGACAAGAACAGCTCGTATAAATGGTTCGCATCTTATTTCTGTTCTTGACTCGTTTTCATGTGAACGTTGCCCGTAGCAACGGCAATCCAATCCAACGTGGCGCTTCGACGCGAAGGTCATTTATACGAAGTTTTTGTCGTCTTAGCTAAGACGCGTCTTATCTAAGAACAGGTGTTAAGGGCTGTTCTAAAATAAGACGCGTCTTAGCTAAGCCGTGTCTTATTTTAGACGAAATGTGCCGTTTATACGGAAAGTTTGCGTTTTGTTTAAGACGCGTCTTATTTTTCCTCGTATAAATGGCCCTATTGTAAAACGCAGACTGCGGATTATCGTTTTCACCTTCCAAATGAGAACTTGACAACAATAGTCCCATTGTTTTCTAACCCTAAAAACAATAGTCCGCAGTCAGTCCATGGTCTTCATTTTTCACTGCCCCTTTTGGAATCCGAATATTTTACGTTTCCTTTTTCTACGAAAAATGGTTTATATAACTCGGGGAGTGAAAAGCAAAAAATAAAACTTCAGAAAACCCCAGGGAATTTATTGGATAAGCTTCGAAAATTGTACATCATCATGGAACGGTCATCTCTAGAAATTTTTAGCCATCCTCATAGAAAATTCTTGTCAGTATTTCTTTCTTTGAACAGATATCTTAGAGAAAACAGACCAAACTATAGCTCTTTACACCGAAATCTCCTTTTGGTTTCGAAGTTTAAGTGCGCGATCCCTATAGAAAATATGCGGGAATTTAGATCAGATGGTGCTTGGAACGTTTCTTTTTGCGCGCAGTTTAATTTGCATACAGGCTTACGAAGTGGCCAGAGTGCCGGACCAAGGAACCACTGGCCAGTCCAGGGACCTTCAAACGAAGCCCTCATTTTTTATGATGCAGGAATTTCGGCAAAGCTCAGAAGCTGTTGGTTTGTCACAAGTTAGTTAAATGTTACGGAAACCTACAGGACAAATTTCAGCTCACTTCTCTTCTACTAATTGAGAAATACTGAGCCGCCTACGATACTACATCAAGTTGCTGGAGTTGCTCTTGGCTGCCCCTTGAGGACCTCTTACGCTTCTGTCGTGCTCAAAAAACTTCCTGCGTGCTTCATATCTGGGCATATGATATGCACCCTGAATCATGAATCATTTGTTACATCTGCTTTATTAAGTTAAAATTATTGCATTCTAAAGACTTGAGTTCATTTTGCAGGCATCCAACTTCGTGTTGCTCTATTGCGGAAATCTTGTCAGTTTTATTTTTTCACACCATGCGCTATAAAGGTGAGTTGAAATCATAAATATTTTTACTGAATGCATCACGTGAAAACTTCCATCGGCGTCAAAATTCGTTTATGAGCCAACCGTATTTCACTGAATTTTTTGCCGAATTTAATGAATATAAGTACAATTTCAATTTAGGCCCTGTTTACAAGGAGGGAGGGCAATCCTGGTTCGAGGATTACTCTAGCATGCCAGTTAACATGCTTCGCATCCAATACAAATGTGTGACAACAATTAATTTTCGTCGTAGGTGAAATGAGACGTTTTATCCGGGCCTGATTTGCATAATCTCCGACTTTTGCTGAAACTATAATATTTCTTGTTCGCGCGTGTCTCCACGTCCTAATTTTGCGTCCCACTATTCCATACTGCACGTTCCCGACTCTCCCGTTTCCACCTGCTCTCGTCCCAATAGAGTGTTTTCACATGACGTCACGGCGGCCATATTGGTGTCCCAAAACAATGAAACGGGGGCCATGTTGGTGTCCCAAACCAGTCCTGTGGGAGTTGAACTCTTTTCTTATGCAAACGCTTACTTTTGTTCCAATAAATTTGCATAGATGCTGGCCACGTGAGTGAAAACACTCTATATTTCTCGTAGCAGACGTCGGATTTTTTAAGAGCAAACGGTAAAATTTCGAGGATGTGCGCGCGCACCAGGGTAGAAAGAACCGATACCTCTTTTCCCCTTCACGATTTCTCCTCACATGGCTCTCTATCAAAACTAACCAAAGAAGTTAACCCACGCCTACCACGCAAGCTAGAGTCCCAACCTCCCCGTCTTTATGTTCCAGTCCTATTTTTAAACTGGGTCTATGTGTGTCCGGTATCTTCTATTTTTGACCACACCGTACTGCCTTTCCCTGTTGGGGCCTCTAAAGTCTCAGTGAGTACAAAAGGACAGTAGTTTTAATTCATTAATTGAGGTTTTGGGGGAACTTGATCTGCTGTTGGATTGCATTCGGTGTTAAATTTCAAACATAAAACAATTTTAATCTACATCAACAATCGATTAATTTGACGGTACACTTTTAATTCTTCTGTTTAAAGAGTGACTCATGTTTTCTTATTCAGGAAAAGCATAGCCCGTTCCAGGCTCTCAGATAGTACAGTAGGGATGACGCAAAAATATGAGCACGTGAACTGGGAAAAGGGGCGTGGCGGGAAAAATGGAAAGGAGCCGCACTTCCTCTCCCCAGTTTCCTCCCGTGTTATTTTCCTGTTTGCGCTTTCAAATTTCCGCTGACTCGATTATCTCGGAGACTGAAACTGGCTAGCAAGAGCTTGAATAATAGTCTCATTGATTCGATTATTTCCTTCTAGTTTCTGAACCTAGAGATCTTTCAAGTGACAGATTCGTTTTATCAAAGGTTAGTTAATTTTTCGAATCTTAAAGAGTTATATAAATTTGTTTGGAGAAGTATAATCCTCTAAAGAATGGAGCGTCATCACAACTAAACCTTTTTATACAGAAATACGAAATTTTTGGAGACCTCTTACACCTATAGGTATGTTGATTCTACCCCTTTGGACAGATAGCCGGAGTTTTTTGTAGGGAAGGTGAAGGAGGGAAACCATATAAGGCGGAGAAGACTTGATTTAAAAATGGAAAGGGGGGGGGGGGGGGGGGCTATATGATAGTACGTGATGGTAGAAGTGGTGGTGGTAATAATGATGATGTTGTTGTTGATGGTGGTGGTGGTGGTGGTGGTAGTAATGGTTATGATGAATATGTTGACGATGATGTGGTGATGATGATGATAATGATGATGATATTTACGATGATGGTGGGTGGTGGTGGTGGTTGTAGTGGTAGTGATAGTGATGGCGATGGTGATGATGAAGTTGTTGACAATGATGTGGTCATGATGATAATGCTGATGTTGATAATGATAAGCAAGATGATGATGTTCATACTTCCGTTTCAGGGACATGCCGCCCCGATTCTGTATGCTGCATGGGCAGAAGCTGGATTGTTTCCCGTCTCAGAACTTGCAAAATTGCGATCAATCGACTCTGATCTTGAAGGTCACCCCACCCCTGTAAGTACCTTGCCTTTACTTATTTATTTGATTTAGGTTGTGAAACACCCCGGGCTTGGCAACATTTGCCTATCTTCTCGAAGGGATTGATTCTTTAGACGCGTGTTGAATCGATTTCACAGCGAAATCAGCTCCTCTTTATCTACCCGCTAATAGCCTTGTTTAGGTGCCAATGATGAGCTGATCAAGTTTAGCATTATCACTCATGTTGGCGCCTCGTCTCTAAGATATGATAAATCTCAGTAAGTAGACTGCAGATAACGGTTTCTTTGCAAGAACGCTCTTAGTTTTCCTCGAAGACCACGCTTCCATCACGACAATTGGGTGGCTCACAGTGTAAGGGATAAACGCTACAGTTCTTGGTCGCGCGTTTCACGTACCATTCAGCAAGACAACGATGTGTTCGGCAATCCTTGGATATGCGCAAGCGCAAGTGCACCAGGACGATCTATTTTTTTATTATATGGCTACAATATTACGCGCGCTCTGATTGGCTGCTTTCTAGTAATGAGCGAGCATTACTAGCTAGGTGTCCAAGGGATATACAATCTGTGTTTAACTTGATATTGGACATCCTTGTAGACATTCATGTAAAAATTGACAGCTGTCAAAAAGAGTATCCGCTGACCAGTATCACCTCACTGTATCGCGGGTTCAAGTGTACAGCTCACCGAGGTGACGTGATTTGAAAAAGTTATCCGCTAACAAGTTTTTGGTTTTAATTGAGCGCAGGCTCAGGTCCATAATGAAAAGGCCAAATGATAAATAACTTATTAACCTCCTCTGTTCGGTCATCCCAATCTCTAACCTCGGCCTTGATGTAATAATTCAAGGCCTCCGTCTGAGATTTCCCTGTAATTACCTCACTCTCGATTGATAAGTCGTATATCGTTGTGGTCTTTTAGTTTTCTCAAGGCACTCTCACAGAAAGACCTCTGCCGCAGATGATTGACAAAATTAGAAGAACCGTAAATGCCCACGATAAATTTGGGCGGAACTCTTGTGGACGACAATAGAAAATTGTCTCAACAATTGAATGGTGGCTCTCTGATCATGAAGTGCGTTTTCCACCACAATAATTCTCTTTTCTGCAGTTGTCGAACACCTTCTGCACCCGATCGTATCTCATACTTAAGTTCAATTTTCGATTTTATAAGAGTTATATTAATAAGTCAAGTGGGCAGAAGAAATTGTAGGCGCGGGGTCTACGGGCCTATAGGCTGGCTACGCCTCTTGTACAGGATCTAAAGAATACGTCTTGCGAAGTTAATTTCCACGCATTACTACCAGCTTTACAGACTTCAATGTGTCTATCATGTATGTTTTTTTTGTTTGTTTGTTTGTTTGTACTATATTTGTTTGTACTATATATATATTTTTTTTCTCTTTCTTAATTTTTATTTTGTATGTAAACGTAAGAAATGCTTTAATTAAAAAATATTAAAAAAAAAAAAAAAATGTATGTTACCCGTTTTGTTGTTTCATAGAGACTGAGCTTCATCGACTTCGCCACAGGCTCACTGGGTCAAGGTCTAAGTTGCGCATGCGGGATGGCCTACATTGGAAAGTACTTCGACAAAGCAAGGTGAAACCTGTGATCTGTAGTCGTACCCTCCCCCCACCTCCACGTTTTCTCCGTGGGGTGGGGAGGTTTTGGCTACAAGTAGGCTAACATCAGTTTTTTTTGACAAGCCGACTCTCGCATCAGAAGTATAAATATTAGACCGCAAAACAGTCCGTATTTTTGCGTATTCAAGTACCTACGCGCGAGTAGTGAAACAAAAGATCTGGAACGCGGCTGAAAACAGAGAGCTAGACTGGAGAGAGACGCCAAAAATACTTTTTCTCTCGCCTCACTTTGCGCGCGTAGGACTCTTACGCCACGCTTTACCGATTTCTTTTTTGATTTTGAGGAAAAAAACCGACTGTTTTGCAGTCTATATAAATATATATGGCCATTAAATATAGTTCCCTTTTAACTAAGCTACATAAATGTATTGTATTTTACAATAACCAGCTTACAATCTCTCGCGCACAGAATGACGTGGTGTGAAAACATACACAATGAGACTATGCAATTAACCTGATGATCGATGACTCAAATCGATTTTCCCAGTCAACTGAACGCGATTTTCCAAGAAACTTTACTGGAAATGGACGTTAAAATATCATATTAAATAAATAAACAACAATTTTCCACGGTCTTCTCTGTGGTATACTCTTGCAAGAACATAAGGATGACGTCAAAATGTCCAAACTTAGCAGTAAATCATGAGTTTTAAAGATTTTTCCAAAAGTCGTTTCGAAGGGTTATAGGAGGATGGGTAAAGGCGCACACGAACCAAAGGCCCAAACACCCGGAGCTTATCAGTTTTCCTTAGCTTGAAGCATGCCTAGGAGTATTGTTACCCTCCCCTCCCCAGGACGGGATGCTAGCCCATCGCAGGGTTACCCCTCAGCAGTATGTCACCGGTACCTGCATGATTGCACCTCGCCCAGTTGTTCAAATGCTACGTAGCGCTCTACACCGGATAAATCACTCTCCAGCGGATAATGTTATTGATTTTCGTAATACTTATCCGCTGGATAGTGATTTATCCGGTGGAGAGCGCTGTCCATAGTTTGAACAACCTGGGCCTGGTTTAAGAGTAAGAATGTAGAGTAAAGTTTCTTGTCTAATGAAACGACGCGACGGGCGAGGCTTGAACCCCGGACCTCCAGATCCGCAGTTCGAGGTGTTAACCGCTCGGCCACACGCGCCTCCACTATAGGAGCATAGACTATGGAAAATTGATGCCTACTAGAAAGTATGTTATGAGCCACTGCCTTAACCAAAAGACCAAAGCCCTTCATTATGATAAAGCGCTGAGTTTTTCAGGGTTGTTTTTCAGTTACCGCGTGTTCTGTCTCGTTGGTGACGCGGAATCGTCCGAGGGCTCAATCTGGGAAGCCATGAACTTTGCAAGTTATTACAAGCTTGACAACCTGTGCGCCATATTTGATGTCAATCGTCTTGGACAGAGTGACCCCACAATGTTTCAACACGACTTTGATGCTTACAAGAGAAGGACGGAAGCTTTTGGGTGAGTAACCATAGAAGTCAAACGGTTAGGCGACACCAGACTAGGGTACCCAACTACAGATTCATCCTAAATACATGGAAATTACTTTTAAGGCTATCCAGAGTACTTTTAGATCTCAAAGCGTGTTCTTAGCAGCGCTATAAAATTTGTGTCTGTTGGGTCATCCTAACGGAACTTGATTCTTTTCGAAATTACAAGAGTTTCACTTTTATTACTCGAAAATTTTAGTTACAGTTTGACGTACTTCGGAAGTGAGAATTTTTCGAATCCCCCTTTCCACTATATTTTTGAATCCGGAAATTTTCGGTTTCTTTTTTTCTATGAAAAATAGCTCAACTTGGAGAGTAAACTATGAAAAGTTAAACTTCAGAAAATCGTAGGGAATACATTAATTTAAGCTTCGAAAATTGTACCTGAATGGAACACTCATCTAGAGGGTTTAGCCGTCCTCAAGTAATAAGAAATTCTAGGCAATATTTGCTTCTCCGAACAGATTTGTTACAGAAATCGGTCGGGTGGGTGCCCTTGAGCAGACTGAAGACGTTTGTGCCAAAAACCCCGTGATACGTAATCGTCACGTCATCAGTGCAGTTCCAAGTCCCCTGTCTCTCTATGTTGCTAAATCTGAAGGGGCCAATCTGGCTGTTTTTTGGAGAAAATGACGTTGATTTGGGAAGGAAATAATTTAGGGTAGAGAAAGTATACGAATCGGAATAAGCCAGTTAATCCAATAATAGGCTCAGAGGCACCTTGTTGTGGACTATCTGGTATTTATCTACTAGATTCACTTCATATCTTAATATTTAACAATCCCCAAATTCTCAGCCATGTAATAAAACACAGTCTCTACTGCAGTATTGAGTCCATGCAGACGATGTTATTGGATGACAAAGTAGAACTATACTTCTCTAATTTTTAAATGATATTTTTTCCAGCTGGAACAGCCTTGTGATCGATGGTCATGATGTTGAAGCTGTGTGCAAAGCATTTCATGAGGCCAAAACAACAAAGAATCGTCCAACAGCTATTCTAGCTAAGACCTTCAAAGGAAGAGGTGTACCAGGTATATAGCGTAGTTTAAGATCATTAAGATGATACTTTCCAAAAATAGCTTGAGTTTGATCGTCCGGGTGAACGTAGTCCTGAATAGGACGGTTGTTGTTGACAGTGACTGACGTTTCGACAACCTGTGTGGTAGTCATCTTCAGAGTCAAAGTGAGTTTTATCACGTCAGTTGATGTTATTATTCTCTGGTTGTTGGTCTGATTATTGGTTAATTACGTCGCGATGTTATTGGTCGTCTGTCAGTTAAGCCTTGATGTTATTGGATATGAAGACTCGTAATCAGTAATTCCATTTGGAATCAGGGAGAGCACGGAGTGAAAAGGTTGTACCTGTATTGATGATTACGTTTCAGGTTTTTTATTTTTATTCCACACACAAAAATAATAAATAGTAAAATAAATAGTACTAAATAATAAATAGTACCACGAGAAAGTACTGCTCAGTAGCTTTCATTTGAATGGTCACACTTTAGGATTTCATTGTAAGACTCAAAAGTTACAACCGACTACCTTGTACAGCATAATAAACAGTACCACAGGAAAGTACTGCTCAGTAGCTTTCATTTGAATGGTCACATTTTAGGATTTCACCTACAGACTCAAAAGTTAGAACCACCTTGTACAGCATAATTAACAGTTCCACAGGAAAGTACTGCTCAGTAACTTTCATTTGAATTGTTACACAGTAACTCTTAAGGATTTCATCCAGAGACTCAAAAGTTAGAACCACTTTGTACAGCATAATAAACAGTACCACGGGAAAGTACTGCTCAGTAGCTTTCATTTGAATGATTACACTTTAGGATTTCATTGTAAGACTCAAAAGTTACAACCGACCACCTTGTGCAGCATAATAAACAGTACCACAGGAAAGTACTGCTCAGTAGCTTTCATTTGAATGGTCACATTTTAGGATTTCACCTACAGACTCAAAAGTTAGAACCACCTTGTACAGCATAATTAACAGTTCCACAGGAAAGTACTGCTCAGTAGCTCTCATTTAAACGAACGCTGTAAGGTTCATTCCGCAAACTCACGAGAACAGCCTTGTGCAGCAAAAAAAATAGGAAAGTATTGTTCGACAGCTCTCGTTTGGTTTACTTAGCATCTCAGAGCAGTTATCACAAAACTAGTACAATTTTTGTGTATCCATGAAGAAAACATATCCTTTGGCTTTTTCAAAAATCCTGTTCCTTTTTCATATATTCTAGGAGTTGAAAATCTGGATAACTTTCATGGGAAGGCTCTTGGTGACAAAGGCCGGGCAGCTGTGGAGATATTGAAGAAGACGATCACGTCTAATGGACCCAATGGCCTGGGACCTCAACCCGTTGTTGATGATAACGTGACCGCCATTGATCTCTCTGATGTCAAACTTTCTTCGCCACCTAGTTACACTATTGGCGAAAAGGTATGGAGGCTTAAATGGACCGTTTATTGCCGCATGCAGTCAGCTTTGAACGATCATCTGTCAAACAATCAAGCTAAATACGCTTGAGTTATAACACCTTTGATCGTTGTCGCCCACACTCTGTAACCTTTGGTTATTATGAGTTCTAGTTTGTAGACAATTTACTTCTCATTTATTAGGTAGCTTAAGTCACAAGGACAACGATGGCAAGGAGAACGGCCAAATAGCAATTTGCACGTGCATCACGTCTTTTTGTACATTTCTTTGCCGTCGTTGCTCGACCACGACGTGAAAATGCTTAATTTCACGTTTTGTTGAGGACGTGAACAGAAGAAAACGATTTTCTAATTAAATAGAGTCCCTTAGAATTCGACTCCAGAAAAAATCACCAACATTTGACACATTGAAAGAAAAACTGAATAACAGCGATGAATTTTGAAACAGCGCGAATTCACTTTTAAAGAGACGTCGAGTCGTCGTTGCTTAAGCTTCCTGTTTTCTCTTTTTAGGTTGCTGTTCGTCAGGCGTATGCCAAAGCTCTCATCAAGCTCGGTAACACGTGCGACCGCGTGATAGCTCTAGACGGAGACATGAAGAACTCCACCTTCTCTCTGGAATACAGAAAAGCATTCCCTGAACGGCATATTGAGTGCTTTGTGGCCGAGCAGAATATGGTGGGCGTGGCCTTGGGATGCGCCGCGCGAGGACGTGCCATCACTTTCTCCAGTACATTTGCTGCATTCTTTACCCGCACTTTCGACCAACTGCGCATGGCAGCTGTGTCCCAGTCCTCTGCAAACTTCTGTGGCTCTCACCCGGGTGTCTCTATTGGTAAGTTGTTGCTGATTCCGTGAAACTCTTCCCTGCCTGCTTCAATAGAGAGCCTAGATTCTAAGACCAGGACGACAACGAGAACGAGATTTTCGCAATACTAAGTAGTGTGCGCGCGCGAACCAACGTCATTTTGGCGGGAAAATGTGGCAGCCGTCGCCATTCTACGTGTGTTAACAAAAATGTTGTAGTGGTGAAAACAAGTTATCAAATGTTAAGAATTTTATCATTAAGCGATCGGGAGAGGGCTTCACCTCCTTCAACGGAAATAAGCGTACTAACTTTTGTGGTGAAAAAAAAGTACAATGGAGCTTTCAGGGGTGTCTTTTTTCAGAGAATAGCAAGAAAACTTAAAATAAAATGTCGTTATCGTAGTCGTCCTTGTATGTAAATCCCTCTGTTATGTCTTTTTGTTGTACCATAATGTGTCCTGTGTTCGCCTGCGCCAAGAGGTCTCTTATTTCCTTTTCTTGAGGAAACATCTGTCCGCAGGTCATTGGCCGCTAGTCTCCTAAGTTGCCGATCACTGTGTAGAGCAATTGATGCTTCAGGAGCGTTGCCGAAGTGTTAGCGTCTACATAAAGGAGACAAATGAACAACTGCAAAGGATCCCAAACGAACATGCGACATGCAGAACCTAGGATCTATAGAAGACCCGATCAGCGAAAAATATACCAAAAAACACTGAAACGATCTGCAAAGCTGATCGTACTACGCAAAAATCAACTTTGCAAAACAAACACGACACCGATAGAACCCAAACATAGCGGTGCTGAAGCCGTTGACAGTATGGCTCTTAGGAGACTAGCCATTAGCCATTACAGGGCTCCATTTAGACTAGCTGCTCCTGGATAAATATTGATTTAAATAAATATAATAGCTGGTTCCAGGTGGGAAAGCCGTGGAGGCCATTCCTGTATTTATAATCGAAAGTAGTTCTAGAATGAAACAAAAATTAGTGAACGAACGCGTAAACCCCTGCACGAAATAAGGCGGTAATATAAGGAGTAAATTCAACACAACGGCTTTTCGTAGTAAAATAAATTTCAAGAAAACTGAGAAGTTACTTCTGACACGGATGATATGTCAGAATTGTAGTTTACAATGTTAATTCGCAACTACGCTCCTTCTAAGACGCGCACACCATAAGCTCTGTTCCGTATGGCAAAATTTTAATTTTTGCTTATTCAGATGAAATCAGTAAGACTTGCGTATGAAATGAAAATCGAAGTAACTTCTTTTTGTTCTGTAGCGTTCGCATTAGCTTTTCTCTCTTTTTTCTATGTATTTTTCTAGGTGTGGACGGGCCTTCCCAGATGGCTTTAGAAGACATCGCTATGTTCCGTTCCATTCCGAACTGTGTGGTGTTTTATCCAAGTGATGCTGTCTCGGGTGAACGCGCAGTTGAACTCGCGGCTAACTACAAGTACATGACCTTTATCCGATCCACTCGAGGTCCGACTCCTGTCATCTACAATAATGACGAAGTATTTGAAATTGGAAAAGCTAAGGTAACTTAAAATTAGGAATAGTGTTATCTGCGTATATTTTGTGGTTCGATTTTAGGCTCATCCTTGGTGCCAGAACCTATAAGCTTCTCGAGTTAGAAAGACAAAGGAAGCAATAGATGTGCCGCCAAATTTGGCCAATTTTAGACAGTGAGAACTGGCCACCAAACTTAGCGTAGCCGTACACAGTGGGGGCAGGGATCAATTAAGGTTTTTGGGTAACTGACCACCTACCCCTCCCCAAAATCAACATTAACACTTACTTCTCACTTAGGGCAAAATTGTGATTTAAGGGATGGGTAGGTAGTCAGTAACCGAGAAACCTCAAATGATCCGGGGGCACATGCGCGCAGTAACAAGAGCAAAAAAATTCTCCTCTCGCGTGTCTCGCACCTTGCAGTTGGCATTTCGCCGGCACTCTCTTCCCTTACCCCTGTAAGCTTGCGAAGGAGACTTGTCAGAAAATTATCAGCCTGATGGTTTTCCAAAATTCTTCTGTTTTGTCCGTTTGAAATTTATTTTTGTCACGAAGCTGTCCTTTTTTCATTTACTACGCAAACGTCCAAAGCTATAGAGGGTGAGAGGGCGGAAAAAGTGAAACGCAAAGGAGTGTGATTGGGAAAAGAGGAGAAGAGTTCCTACCCCTCCCTCTCTTTTTTCTGTTAGGTTATTCTCCCCTTCCCACTCCCCCTACAAAACAAAATGGACTGGACTGCAGTGGGAAAGCGGTCCCTCTAGATCTAAACTCAATCTGTTCGAGTTCCATAAGCTGACAAGTCAGAAAAATCTCAGATAGAATGATATCTTATATACGCAAGCCTCGTAACTTTTTAGTTAGTTACCAGTGCCCCGTTCCTGAAAGGCCGATTACTGTAGCGCTAATCCAGGATTAAAATTTTGTTCTGTTTTGTATTTTACCTTCCTATGCATTGCTTAGAGTAACATTTTGTGTTATCATGACTTTATCTCAGAGTAAAGGCACAACGGTATTTTGTAAGCTGGAGTTGCATGTTCTTAGACAAGAAAACCTTGCTCAAATTGGCGTAATCCCGCGTTAAACTTAACCGTCATTCAAGGAACCGGGCCCTTTTTTTTATGTACAATTTTTTTTCTTTGTAGGTCGTTCGCGAGACTGCCAAAGATTCAGTGCTTGTTGTTGGAGCGGGAGCCACATTGGACGAAGCCTTGAAAGCTGCTGACGAGCTTGCTAAAGAAAATATTAACATCCGTATCTTGGATCCTTTCACTATAAAGCCAATCGACAAGGAAGCCATTGTTCAGAATGCCAAGGCTGTGGGTGGCAAAATACTGACCGTGGAGGACCATTATCTTGAAGGTACTTACTATACATCCTAGTTAGACATAATTTCTTTCAGTCCCAGCTAAACGGCCAAACTTTTTTGTCCAACATTGTTTCGGAAGCCGGAGCATGTTTCGCCGTTTAGCGACTTAAGCTGCGTCTCTCATTAATGGCTTTCGATGTTGGATCTAGATGAGACTTTTTCATCCAACATTTTGCCACTCCACGTTGTTCATGACAAATAGAATGTTGGATGAAAACAGTTGATCGCTTAGCCGGGGCCTCACAGTGACTTAAAATTACTTTAAAAGTCAATTCAGAACTCAACGCAAATTTGTGCGCTTCGATTTTGCTCTGCTTCACCACGTGATTTGCTGACCAATCGGAAGTTCAATCTGACTCATTCTCGTCCCCAGAGCCCGTCGTTTCTTGGTCACGTGGTCGGTTACAGATTAAGCCGAGTGGCTCTGGGGACGAGAATGAATCTGACTCGGTCACACGATAGTCATATGCGTTTTCCCGCGCATCTTGTCGGATTCAGGCATTTTATTCTTGTTTTGATTTTTGTATCGTGTTGACTAGCCAAGTTGTCGCCCCGGCTCTGATTTAAAGCTGAAACAAGTTGACGTAAAAGGAAAACGTTTTCCTGCGTTGTTGTTTTCATTTCCAATAAATCAAGACCGATGGTTTATTTCAGATAAATCTATGTAGCAAAGTTTTCTTTCGCGTTGCTGGGTGACCTAGGTTGAAAAATTAAAGAGATTATCCGTGACTATAAGAACCTGGTTTTCAAGGACCAGTTTGGCTAAAATTTGCCAGCTAGGCCCCCTCTATACAAGAACCTGTTCAGCCTAACATTTGAAACAGGGGTCAATTTAATAAAAGTTTTACAAGTGTAATTTACAATCCGTAAGAGCTCTATTGTTTTGGAGTCTGAAAACAATAGAGTCAAAAGTCCCCACCCCCGGGAATTTGCCATCCAAGGCAAAAAAAATGCTAATGCCCTAATTAGCTTAAATTTGTGTAATTATCATTTATGTAAGAACCTGTTTAGGCTAACTTGGGAAAGTGCAGGTTCTTAGTCCCGGGTTTTTACTGTACTTCCCCTGTAGGTGGCATTGGTGAGGCTGTGTTGGCTGCCGTAGCAGAGGAGAGTGGGGTGACTGTGCGCATTTTGGCAGTGAAAGAAATCCCTCGAAGTGGGCCTGGGGATGCTTTGCTGGATCTATTTGGAATCAGTGCTAATCACATTGTCAAAGCTGTTAAAAACATTTAATAACTATCTCAGGAATGAAATCTTTCTGCACTGTTACACTTGCAACATTCGCAAAACATGAAGCAAACCTTTTTCTTCTTTTGTTAATCGGGGTCGATGAGATTTACCTCAGCTAAAATTGTCCTGGAGTTGTAAGTTCTATGAAATGTTACGCTATTAAATTAATTTTGGAGTGCCATAATGATCAGTGAGTGAGATGCGTTTCTGTGTTAGCCTCGTTCTAAAAACGTGCCGGACCTGCAAATGAATTCGAATACAAGGGCATTCTCTACCACATTGATCACCAGTTCTCGAGGTTAAAACCGGAAAAAATCTCCCGTATGAGGGCCGTACGCATCAAGTGATGGGGCTGGATAAACTCAAGGTTCACATGATAAAATGCTTAAGGATGGTTTTCCCTAGCGACGGAGTCGGAGTGGTAATCAGAAGCGTAGAACTTAACGATCTAGTGAAAACAGCGTTTTGATTCCTCTTACGACTACGTCGCTTAGAATCAAGTGAAAACTAGTTTGTCGGGGTTGTAAGCAGAAGCAGAAAAACTGAACCAATCATAAAGCGTGGGGATGTGAATTGTGATTGGTTCATCCTTGCACACTTCTGCCTCCGACTCCGACAAGTTGGTTTTTACTTGATCGTAAGCGACGGAGTCAAAAGCGGCAACATTCTGATTCATTTTTTTCTGACTCCGATTCCTTCGCGCTTGTGACTTCGCTTACGACTCCGATTTTTGATTTTCACTTGGTCATAAGCGCTCTTACGTCTCCGCTTACGACTCCATTGCTAGTGAAAACCAACCTGAGTTAGGTCGGGCCGGACGGGAAAGTATTTGGCTTCTCGGTCAGGACGCACGGACCTCGCTGCGCTAGGTCCGTACGTCCTGACCTTGAACTAAATATTTTCCCCTCCGGCCTTTCCATTCAGTTAATAAGCACACAAAAATGGGCCATAAGAAAAAACTATCGTATTCGTACTGTAGATTGCCACCTTAAAACTACTTTCAACAGTACAACGTCATCGACCTTGTGAACTCAGACAGCAGCCTCGTTCCAGGTCTTTCTTTCCTCACTTTACGTCATTTCTTCTTGGATCGTGATGAAAGTCGACGAAAAGATGGATCTCGTCAATAAGCTTTTATTTCCACCTCAGCAAATGATTTGTTCATGGCATGTGCGACATTTCATGCTTTTAGACGGGGGCTTTCTATCTTAGGTCAAAGTACCCTCTTTTAATTACTACTCGAGCTAATTCGCTGTATAAACAAACAAGTTTGTCACATCTGTTTTTAGGCTTCTAAATTGGGTTAAAGAAGCTTACAGTTCAGACAGGGACGCAGCGGCTTTTTAAAGGTGAACATGCCAGGACTCGCTGTTCTGACCTCGAGGAGGGTGGGCAATTGGCGGTGGTCTGGTTGGGTGTTTCCCAAGTTTCTTGCTTTTGGGAGCGCGGGACATTTCGATGAAATAAATAAGCCTCCTAACCAACCAACTGGATTTCACTGTTTGTGATAAAGACGGAACCTAAAAACAAAGGGAAAAAAACGGAAAATTAGTGTTGACAGGCCGACCATCCCCACGGGTACGTGATATGAAAAGCTCTTCTTAAAGTTGGGGGTCGTAAGGTGTTTCTTTACTTGATAAATTGACAGTGTTGAAAAATTGACTTAATAGTGTTGACAAAATTAACTTAAAACTTTACATCACCAAAATACAAAAAGGGTCTGCATCAGCTAACTCAATAATGAAAACGTATTCTTCCAGTAAAAATTTGACTGTTGTTTTTCGAAATTTAGCTGCACGTCGTTCGTACGTGCCTATATTGTAGCTAAGCTCCGTTATCACAATTTCTTAATCAGATCTGCACGTGCCTGTAATTTTTAAAAACGCGGCTCGCAACTGGAGAAATGAACAGTTGTCAGGAGGTACTTAACGTTGTAGAAAAAAAACAGCACGACAAAGCAAATTGTTATTCATTGCAAGTCATAATATAATAGCAGCTCGAAGGACTATCCACAACGCTTTCCACAACTTCAGCGATCTTGTGACCTCTTATAGTCTGCAACACAGCCGTTTTTTGCGTCGTCACGCAATGCTCCTTTCCACAAATGGGAGTTGAGCGTGCGTGACGACCGAATGATAAACCATATTACCCCTCCCTACACGGGTGGAGATCACGTGGAGAAAATTTTACAAGAGCGAGGCACTGGAAAATTCATTCAGTTTGCCTCAGTCGTGTGTGTTGGGGGCAAGTTGTTTGGCCTGTGAATTTTACAAATTTCCTTCGACAACTGGATTCGATCTAAGCAGTATGGAAGACACATACCACAGACCGGACCAAAAGACTCTCCAGGCCTTGAAAGATATGGCGAACAAGCTACGAATCGATAGCATTGAGTCTACGAACACAGCAGGTTCGGGGTACGTACAGTATGCAGTAATTTTAATGCTAAACTTTGCAGCTTGGTTTAACTCACAACTCGCATTTAAACTTCCTGATTTTATCTTTCAGACATCCGTCTTCGTGTTGTTCTATGGCTGAAATAATGTCGGTTCTTTTCTTCCATACCATGCGTTACAAAGGTGGGTTTTAGTTGTGCCTTTAGTTTTGCCTGCTCGTAATCATCTTAAACCGTGCGAGCAGATGTATATTGAGCAATACGTTCTTAATGTGGTGCTTGTCATTCGAAATTTTAGCCAACACGAACTTTATTAGCAGCTTTTAGAAGCCGATTTGGCCTCCATTCCGTGCTATTTCGCTTTGATGTAAAATTCGTACGGTTGTACTCAGGGGTGTTCTAAACAAATATTGGCTTAAGTCTTCAAGGCAGTACTGTGGAGTTTTCATCAGCTTGTATCGATTTCACCCCATTGGATTCAGTTAATAACTCACTTAAGTTATTAATTTTAGTTTGTTTACTGTATTTTGATTTTGCGATGCGGTACGTAGAATCTTTTCGAGGTAAATTTAAAGCGTGCCAATTCTTTTTTGCACCGTCACCGTCCAATGGCTTAATTAAATGCCTGTCCTTAAGTATGTAATAGTTGCATACACTTAATTTAAGTTCGATCCGCTTTGATTTGAATATAACAAATACGTCACTATTTTTTTTAAAAAGGCATTTTACAAAGGCATTGGGATCTTTCATCTTCAGTGTCATACATCATTGCACATACATGTGTTTTCTGAAGAGCTTTTAGCTTTAAGTTAAAAGTTTGAAACCCCCACTAATTTATAATCGCTAGGCTTAATTTTGATAAATTGCATGTGCACTGTATTACGAGAAAACACGGAAAATAAAGGCAGACATCTCTTTCTCCTAGACCAACACATGTCAATCATCTGACCTTGTGTTGAGTAAATTTAAAGTCAAAGAACTTTGTTAGTACTTGGGGTCAACTAACTTTATTGTTTCTGTGAGCCGATGTTTTCGTCATGAAAATTGCAGAGAATCGCTCAGTCGTGTCATGTAGATTTTGAGTTAAACTTAAATATTCTTAAAACATTTTACTATAGCCAAAAAGATGCTTTTTCCTGTGGTCATAAATAATCTCTGTTAAGTTTGTTTTAAGCTGTATTTTGTTTTTCAAACAACTTTGGAAAGTTTTGAAAACTTTTAGAACTAATGCTTTTGTGTTATTATTTTCTTGAATTGTTATTTAATAGTGTTTGTGTTGAGCTACAGGTTATATTTAGAACTGAATATATCAAAGAATTTATTACCCCTATCATTGTTCAACAGCTCAATCTTATTATATGTTTAAAAGACATATTGAACCATCCTTTTTTTTGTATGTGCAATATTTATATAACAGTGCTTTTTTAATATTCACTTTTTGTTAGTCTGGTGACCAATATCAATTTTGTTTGCCTTAGTCATGCAATGTTGTGCATGAGTTAAACTATGAAATTGTGTTACCAAATGATTTTTGTTGCTATATAATGATTAAAACGTACCCATTTTTGATCATTATAATTATTTCCTTCTCTCTTATATGCTTTGGGCAATTCAGAGAAATGATTTTCAACTTCCTTTAATCTGCATAATAATTGAAAGCAATACAATAATGAATACCTTTGCACTACTCGATTGATTGTTCACTAACTTTTACTAGCAAGTTATAATTTTCACCAATCTTTTGAACAGCTGTAAAGATGGGGATATACATGTCAAAATTAATCTGCAAATTGAAATAAGATGGAATTTCTCTCCCACATAGGAATACTTCATTGTTTTTATTCCGTTGAATTTTCTTTTGTCGGAGCTTTTGTTTTCTCAATTTGCTTTAAAACTATTGTTCTTTGGAAATTACTTTATTTTCTACTAGCTACAACCTCAGATAAAACTGGTCGAGGCAGATTGGAAAAATCACCTCCTTTTCCTTGTCATCCTGACCAAAATATGTAAAGAAAAATTAATCATTGCTGGATGAATTGACATTCCATCTCTTGCAGTGGAATAATGGTGACCTTGTTCAGCTAGTTTTCATCCTAGTATTACATATAATTGAAATATAGATGGAACTGTCTCATGAATTTTGTGTAAGGTGTAATATTCCTCCCAATTATGTGAATTATGTGGTTTGTTGTATCCATTATTTCTTAAGTGAAAGGAAGAAATATCCTTTAGCTACGGTAAAAATGTCTATAAAGTATGCAAAGATTGTACAGAGTCTATTTTATAGTTAATGTCCAACTGTTGCTTTTTTATAATTAGTGTCTGAGCCTCGAGATGTCTCAAGTGATAGGTTCATCTTGTCAAAGGTAAGCATTTTACTTCACTGACAAAGCTGTCACTTAGCTGCACAAACATGACTTTTCCAGAGGTTATTTTGACCTGCATTTCAACCTCTTTTCTTTTGCTCGGCATGATAACAGATAGCGAAAAAATTCTTCATAAATGTTGTAACTACAGTTGACTCACAATAACTTGAACCTTCAAGGGAAATTGAAAAAAGTTTGATTTAGCGGGAGTTCAAGTTATCAGGAGAATGAAGCAAATACTGTAACCATAAAGGAGGAAATGAGTTGGGGAACGAATGCAAGTAACATGCACACTTCAAAATGTCTTGATAAATTCACAGTGCTGGACACTGTATTTAAGGTCTCGGTAAATGAAAATTTTAGTACATTGCTCGATTTTCGTTTTTTGGGATTTTTGGCATGGGTGGGTCCTAAATTTTATTTTGGCAGAAAAAGAAAATCAGAAAGTGCTTTTTAACCCTTCTAAAATGAGCCTTTTCTGAGCTAACCAGCCAAGCGTGGACCTCGCGCTAAATCTTTAGAGCTGATTTTCTCTCACTCTATTTTAGACGCAAAAGTCAAAATTCTCCGACCTCCAGTCGGGACAGGTTTTAAGCTATCGCTTTGAAACTTTCAGATATGTTGGATAATGATATAGACTCAAAAAGGGTGTGAGGAATTTTCCGATTTCCCTGTGTAACTAATTTTATGTCAGTTTCTTTGCGTAAATCGCGCTCGAGATTCGACTCTTTAGTTTGAAATGCAATAATTCCGCTAATACGAGACATATGCAAATTTCCTCACACCCTTTTTCAGGTCTTTTATCTGTCAATCAGATGCAATAAAAAGGAAGTGAATATTTAACAACGCGAAAGGGCTGGAGCTTCAGCAGTAAACTCGATACCTCAGAGTTCGAGAGCAGAAAACTTAAGCGCCTTTTGAAATTCGATGAAATAAAATCTTTTATAAAGTAATTTAGTCTTTTAGCTTTAATTTGATATATAACTTGCCTTTGCAGCGAAAATACTCGCGTGACTAGAATTTTTTTCTGTGGGCACCTCGTTTTCCTTTACCGAGACCTTAAAGTGGACTGACAAAAATGTAAGACAAAGAATACATGGTTGTTAAAATAATTTCAATGTTTGCAACTGTAGTACACTTATTTCCACTTGTCACTTGGCATTATAATCTGCCAAACGAAATGAAATTATAATACTTGTTTACCTGTGTATATGTTGTGGTTCAATTTTATCCTTGGTTCAAATTTTTTCCTTTGTTTCAAACTCATTATCACATATTACCATAGCCAAAAACAAAGGAGAATAAAATTTAAACCAAGGACAAAATTGAACCACAACATATACATTCATTTTCTTATTCATTTTTTGTTTCATTCCATGTTTTAGGGTCATGCTGCCCCCATCCTGTATGCAGCATGGGCAGAGGCTGGTCATGAAAAATTTCCTGTCTCAGAACTTGGGAAGCTGCGGACATTTGGCTCTGATCTGGAAGGCCACCCCACCCCTGTGAGTAACCTGTTTAGTTTTGCTCATGTTATGTGGTCAAATAGCCTGTGAACGGCAGACGTTTCTCCTCTCTCATCGCAGCTGAGAGACGTTTCGCGAGCAGGAAAGTCTGCGACTCAGCGACAGAAATTCCATACTGATGACGCAAAATCTGTCCGGAATCCGGTCAGAAGCGCTAATTATTGGTCGATGGAGTAGTTTCATTGTTTTAGCTATTGTTTGCGATGACAGACAAAAGACAAAAGGCTGTAAAGGTCAAATGGAAACACGATGAACCTCTAACAAAACAGTCAATATTTGTGGAATATAGTCTTCTCCAGAAGAAGCATTTGAGTTTTTCTGGAGCTCATTCGCAGTTGAACACAACACTTTACCTAAATCGACCAGGAGAAACGTAAAATTGAACAAATTTGCGTTTGGAACCCCATGACTACCGGATTTATTATGTAAACATTGTTTTACGTCTTTGGTATGGAATTTCTGTCGCTGAGTTGCAGACATTCCTCCTTGCGAAACGTCCCTCAGCGGCGATGAACGAGTAGAAACGTCTGCCATTCGCAGGCTAGTGGTCAAAAGTCTCAGGCGTCTCTTCTGTGGAGAAAGGACTTTTGTCTCGTGAGGTAAGATTCTCATCTAGAGAAGAGAGTTTTGTCTTGAGAGATGGGGACAACAAAGCTTGTGCCTCGGGAGGGGGTGGTAACTTTTAAGCAGTACTGTACTTTGACTTGCACAAGGGTTAAAAATATATGGAATTCTTATAAAGAGATTTTTCTGAATATAATTGATGATAGATGTGTTGGATAAATAAGATTATTTCTGATGAATGATTATAAGTTTAGTTGATTCCCTACACTACTCGTCGCATTGGCCATGTTGGAGGTTGAGGAAAATGACTGCATTTGGGTGGTGGTCGCGCGTGGCTGCTTTAGTGGTTAAAACATGGATCAATATAACCACAGGGCAAACATATGTTTGTTTGTTTGTTTTTTTTCGTGGAGTCATCAGGCCACTTTTATGTAGAGAGTTGACCATTATAGTAAAGGTTCAACTTTAAACACAATATTAGCCTGCGAGCAAGCTCTCCTATTTGGGTAAGCGAAGTGAGCCTCGCGAGAACGCGCGAGCGAGGGGCTGAGGAAAGGAGAGCTTGCAACGATCTCTCATAAATTTTCATTTCCACCCCGGAAACCCCGCGACTCCGCAAAGCGTGAAAACTGTCACCGCAAACGTGCCGCAGATTAGAAAAGTGACAACCGCCTGTCAAGTAAGTTAAGACAGCCGAGGACGCCTAGAATTATTTATTTATTTATAAATAAATTTCGCAACAGCATCAAAGCAATGTTTTTATATGTTTTTTTTTCCACGGGGACATTGAACTTCAATGTGTTCGCTCGGATAAGAACTCACCAATTTGATTCTCGTTTCGTTTACTTTTGAAAAGTCATCCCTACTGCAGTGTAGAAGACTACTCCCCATCGCAATCACCAACAAAAACAACATATATTTGTCCGTCTGGAACTGGAGAATAGCGTTTTCCTGCACTCGGTTCTCTTAAGTTTTACTCCAGTTGCTTCCAACTCTTTCTCTTTTCCTTCTTTACGGTCACGCTACACAGCTACACTGTCAAGTACATGTTTCTGAATTTTTCTACCCAGTAGAAATCAACCGGGCGAAGAAACCGATGTTGGAAAACAGCGCTTGAATCACTCTTCACTTTCACTCTCCCGGTTTTCAGAATTAAACAAGGTGCTTGACACAAACGAATACAACTCAGTGATGAAGGGTTTTCATTTTCCTTCCACAAGAACTACAAACTCGATCCGACTTATCCTCGGCTCGCAATATTCTCTTTACGAGAATTACATCAAACGAGCCTGTCCGCTTTGAGGGCTGAAACATTTTCTCGGTGCCAATCTCATCCCCCTGAGAACCAAATTTGACACACAGACGAAACGGGTGCCAGCTTAGCCTGTTATCAATCAACTTTGATTTCCGGAACGTCATTTTTCAGCCAATGATATTTCCCTTCGTCTGGGCGAAGTACAAATGAAAATTTGTAAGGGATGGTTGCAAGCTCTCCTTTCGCCGGCCCCTCGCGGCTTCGCCGCTCACTTGCGCGTTCTCGCGAGACTCGCTTCACTCGCCCAAATAGGAGAGCTTGCTCGCAGGCTAACACAATATGAGTATAAAATTTTTCCCCCTAAAGGAAATTTTGAAGCCCCAGTTTTCCATAAGCTCCTATTATAGATTGGTATAATAGCTGTTAAAAACTGAGAATTCCAGAGAGGTCTATTAAATTTTATTTGGAGAAACTTGTTTGTCAGAGCAAAATGATTGCCTTTGCCTTTCATCTTTGTACATACGCCTATTTTAATTAAGGTTACTTCAGAGAAGAATGATGCATGATGCATGGTCCATGTTTCATAGCCCGCAGTGCATTATTGTAGCAAGTCTAGTGCCCGCAACGAGCCTAGAAACCTAGAAAGCAAATGCTGCTGACGCGTGTATGCTATGTCAGCAGAACGTTAAGACAATGGATTTCAAAGGAATGAATCCTAGGCTTTTAATTTAAGACAGTGATCTGACGTTAGGTCTTTCTCTCTGGTAATATGCAAATGCTGCAAATTTTCAATGAGTTTGCTTGGCTCGTGCACATGGGAATTTTGGATGGAGTTAAAAAATAAAATCTAGGCATTTGTTGAACTACAATGGATAAAACTTAACATTACATGTTTATATCTTTTTTTGAGGCAATTTTTTAAAAACTGAATTTAAAAAAAAGCGTTTTTAGATTGCTTTACTGAAATAACCAGCATTCTGGCCCATGCAAAAACGCAGCTTAATCAGGCGGTAAAACCCTATTCATTTGATGTTGTTAAAAGAAGAGGCTTCTAATTGTTTACTATGAGATTTTAAAAATGAAATTGTTCAGCTCACTCATGCTTAAGAATAATATTTTAGCAGCCATTTGACTTGAAAAAAGCTCTCTAGAACGCCTTCTCACAAATGGTCTTCATTATTTCAATAAACGTGAACAAGACTAAACTTCCCCTTACAAAAGGGTTTACCCATAGTGCGCTGCAGGCTATGAAACATGGTTCATGGGAGCAACCTTAGTGCTGTGCACATCAGTGCTGTTGCAAAGTACCATAGCCTTTGAGAAATGTAAGGACATTAGTTTGACATATATGTTTTGATCCAAACCTATACTTGCTTTCTGTATGAAAATTATTCTGAAATAATTCTACATGTAGTTAATTGTTAATAATTATTAGAACTTAGAACAAGAATTCGCAAAGAAAGCAGGAAGGGCTGTACATGTATGTCAAAATAAGGTCTATCCAGCCTCGCTTCAATCAACTAACTGTAAATTGGGTCAATTAAATATGATGTTTATGTTTTCTTTCCCAGCGATTAGACTTTGTTGACTTTGCCACGGGCTCACTGGGCCAAGGTCTTAGCTGTGCATGTGGTATGGCATACACTGGGAAATACTTTGACAAAGCAAGGTGAAATTTTATATTATTTGATATGATTTGACATTTATTTTTTTGATGTATGAATTATTCATTTGGGATCTTTTGGAGCAAATTGAAGGGTCTATTATGGGTTACTGGCCAAGTGCCAAGTTTTCTGTATATCTGTTGAGTTAAGGTCTTTATAATTTATCTATTTATTTTTTATTTATTTGGCAGAAAAAAACATATTTACATACAGACATCAGTGTATTACAAAAATGTTAGGTTAAAAGATTAAAGAGACGTAAATTGTAAGTAAAAGAATTAAAATAATTTTTCTAGCGAGGAAGATCAAAATGAAACCTTGAGATGCAAAAACAGTACGAGGTCAATGTTCAACCATCTTGACCAAACAGTTTTCAATGATGATGATGATGATTGTAACTAATTGCTTAAAGCTGAGAGCATTGTTAATAAGTACAGCTGTAATTGCCTTGATGATGTAATAGTATTGTTTCAGAAACATGCCACCTTGATTCTGTATGCTGCATCATCATCATCATCATCAAATTTAAATCAGGTCATTCAATAAAGTGTCAGGATTTCAGTGTTTTCCTTATCAGGCGGTAACCGGTAAAATTTACTGTCTGAAGTAACACTTCTTACTGCCTGCAACCACTTGAAGGTTTGCTAAAATTAAGTAAGCTGTTTTAAAGAATACCCAAGTTGTGATCCGATCCGATCAAGGTAATGAATGAACACATGGAAGTGTACTAAAGTATGCACAAGTTTTCTTTTTATGGGCCACGCATTTTGGAAAGAGCATTTGAAGGCAGAGTACAATAATATTATTAGAATCAAACGTTTTGAATTGAGATAACAACAGCTGATTTGCGTAAAATAGGACTTCAACTGAGGGGGAATGACGTTTCGGAGAACTTAGCAGTGTACACAGCAAGGTCGAAGCCATGTCCTTCACTCTACTACCCCCTCCTCAGGAAAGTGCACACATATTTTTTGCCTTACCGGCAATGAATGGTCCCTTACCTGCTGAGCTAAAATTTAGGGAGATTGCTGGGAGTTACGTACATGTATCATTAGAAGCAGCTTGATCATTTACTCTTCTGCTCAGATGTGACGACCTTATTTTTATTTTCTCAGCTACCGTGTATTTTGTGTTATTGGTGATGCTGAAGCTGCAGAGGGCTCAGTCTGGGAAGCTATGAATTTTGCAAGTCATTATAAGCTTGATAACTTGTGTGCTATCTTTGATGTCAATCGTCTTGGACAAAGTGACCCCACAATGCTCGAACATGACTTTGATACTTACAAGAAAAGAACTGAGGCTTTTGGGTGAGTTCAGTGAATAAAATATCAATGCAATTAGAAACTTAAAGTGTAGTCACGTGCAAAAATGTAATTTTGATTTTTGTTTAATTGCAAAATAATCCTTATAATATCATAGGTGACGAATTACTCCTTAATTTTGGCGCGAAATTTCAGCGTTAATTTGTAATTTCACATGTGAAATTACAAAATTGCCATGGCAACCCTCCGTACATCTCAGTGTCAAGATGGCGACGAAGTTTTAAAATGCCGTGAATGGAGATGTCAGGGCTCAAAAAGACGCTTTAGAAAACCTGAACACACAAGAGAACATCAAGAAGGATTCTAACAGGTATTTTGCCGAAATAGTTTGAAAAATTCTGAACTTTATAAGCCAAATTTAAGGTCTAAACATTTGACAGAGTGGAGTTCTCAATCGATAAGATCCAGGATAAACATGTCAAAAATCCAAGATTGCTAACGTAATTCGTCACCCATGATATTAATAGGTAATCAAATGGTATACTGGTGAAATTATTCTCTAATTTCACTCGTCACCATTTGATTACACATACCAATTTAATATTGAGTATTCAGGCCTTCTGAATTTCAAAAACTTAATCAATTTGTGTACTTAGGAGGAAGCCATGTCCCTGTTGTCATTTTACTTCCTTATTATAGTAGGGGTGTAGCGATTCATATTCCTTGCGATTTGATTCTATTTTGATGATTGCTTTTTGATTTCGATTATTTCTTAATTCTTATAACATAACGCGTTAACAATGTAAACAGCATGCAACCCTTAATGCTTAATTTGAGAATAGTAACAGGGACAGGAGTATTCACTGTCGCTTGCTCGTTTGTTGCCAGGTTTGAGAACCTGACAAAGAGTGTGTCGCGCACATGGCTTGCCTTATTTTAGCCTGCATAGGAAGCATTTCCAATTGCGAAAGTTAGAGCGGGAGCAAAAAAAAAGGTGGAAGGGGGACAGAGGGAGGGGAGAAGAGGAAACGCTTGCCCACAAACCCCACAACTCGGGAAAACGCCCCTTGATATTTCACGGTTCGGTTCATTTGTAAATTGACAGCTCGTCAAAATAGAAGTACCGGTATAATGAAAAGATTACCCCTGGATTACCAGTTTTGTAAAATTACGTTGTTCTTTAATAGAATACGTTCCAGGCGATTGCAAATACTGTAATAAAAAAGGTTTACGATAAAAGAAGGTTGAAACTCTGAGCAACTGCTGTGGGATTTCTTGTTTTTTTGTTGTGTGGCTTTATCTCGTCTGAAACCTTGTTGAAACATCAAAAATGATTTGTCCGGAACAATTCACTCCGCCAGTCATAAGTTTTGCAGAGCGGCTGCTCTTCAGCCCTTGTCAAAAAGTTCTCTACAGTACATGCCGCTAAATTTCCAGCAAACAAAAGAATCTTTTCATTTCAAAAAGCTGACAAACCGCTTGTCCACGGCTTTAGCTAGTGTTGAGTACCGATGTTCTAATTTACGTTGATGTTATGTCCAATAAACAGTCCATTTTTTCCAGTCTGATCCGCACTCCGTCATTCCCACTACTGAAATTGGCCTTCCCTAGTCTTCACTGCTCGATCTCCAATAATACCTTGAATATTCTGATCTCATAAACCTCCGCACAAACACGATTCAAACAAATATCAGTCCAAAGCATTTTGTAATCTGCGACCACAATTCTGATGAGACCAAATCTGTGACGCACGTAAACAAAGCATACCTGGTTCGATTGTTGTTTCGATTGCTAAGTAATCAACACTACCAGCACCACACCAATCAGAAGCTGCATTCGTGGGCGAATGAGTTTTTCAAAATCATGGGGTTTGCGGGCAAGCGTGTCCTTCTTTCCCCTCCCCCTCCCCCTCCCCTGTTGTTACTTTTTTTTGCTCTCGTCCCGATGTTCTCGACGAACTTGCACGGAAACGCTTGCTATGCACTCTAGCCTTATTTGGAAATTCTCAAGGCATTTTTACCCGGCAACCCAAAATGGCGCATGAACTGCTGTCATCTTAAAAAAAGGGCACATTTTAAAGAGTTCTGGATTTTGATTTAACAATATAATAACAGACTGAGAGCACCCTTTAAAGGGTATGCAAAAATCGAACCAAAATCGAAACGTAGAAACAAAGAATCGTAAATCAAACCAAACGGTCATAATCATGATTAATCTAGAATTCGAATTCGATCGTTACACCAATATTTTATAGGCTCTGTGAAATGAAGGTATTGGAATTTAATGTGACTTAATTATTAATGCAAATCTAATTGGGAAACAACTTTAGAATAAAGGAAATTATGATACCATTTCAAAATGGAGGACATTCGCCAAGAAATAAAACTAATTGTTGGCTCATGGGCACAACAGGAATGAAGTACAGTTTAGCATATAATTCGAATTGGGAACTTTTTTTCTGCTACTTTCCGCAAATGTATGAAGGGAATCAAGCAAAGAAATCTAGCTACTTTGAGGGTTCTTCCAATTTCACTGAGACCTCTTTCTTAGGTATCAAGAATATCTGCAGTGTATCGAGACCTTGGGACCAAAATACTTGAAATTAAGGTCGCAGAAATTAACGCTGTACTTAACTAATATATGGCACAAAAATTAATGTGTATAAAAATTAATGCAAATTTTTGAAATTCACATTTATTTCAATCGTTGCTGTCACAGTTCAACCCATCTTTGTGCCATTTGTCGCCATATTTCAGCTGTCTTATATCGCTGTTTCAAGGCCATGTGCTTGTTGGAGTTTTACCCTAACATGGCCTCTATACTGGTTTTAATTTTTCTAGCTGGAACACCCTTGTAATAGATGGTCATGATGTTGAAGCAGTCTGCAAAGCATTTTATGAAGCCAAAACAACAAAAGATCGTCCAACAGCTATTCTGGCGAAGACGTACAAAGGAAAAGGTGTTGAAGGTATGGTAATAGGCCATATATATGCTCTAAGAGGTCATGTGACATCACTTTTATGAAAATGAAAGTTATATGATTTTGCCTTGGAAAAACGATTAGTTGATCATGTCTTAAACAAAATAAGAGTGATTTAGTGTTTCAAACCTGTACCATTTTCTTAAAATGAGTAATTTCCTTCGTAGCTGGTCACATGACCAAATGTGATTTTTAAAACCATGAATTACCTCTTTCCGAACAATGTTGCACGTCAAGGAAAACAATTTTGAAACAATGATGTGGTAACATTTAGAGCACATCTGTGCGTAACTATCAAACATCTAACAAGATATAAGCAAAAAGTAGTTTTTGCCACCATGTTGGAGGGCAAGAGCATGCCTCCAACATGGTGGCCAATCATACTACTTTAATTTGTTGAAAAATGAAAGTGCCATAAAATATCTCCCTTACATGTGTTTCCTCTCAAATTTCGGCTGTAAGATAATTTTTGTGTGCTCTGTCAATTTGTGGCATCAGCAAGATTCCAACTCATTGTTTAAAGGAAGCATTAGTCATGTGACCTCTTAGTGCAAGTGGCCTATTGAAACTCTCTTCCCTTGACACTTGCTGTTGGCCTATTGTAGTTGCAAAACAGGGTAAAGTTATCTGGCTCAGGTTACCCATTCCAAACTTTTGCCCCCACCTTCCCCTTAAGTCAAAGTTAAGCAGTCTGTCAAAGTGACAATGACTGTTTCATGAAGAGTTCATGCTTTAATGAGGTTCCTCAAGGACGTTCTGTCCTTTGCTCGCTGCCTCCAAGTATCTACTAAGATGTTCTTCCACTTCAGGGTTCTTTTCACGATGTCCTTGAATCTTAGCTTAGGCCATCCTTGAGTTCTCTTTCTATCTCTTCCCCTTTGGTGACCCACAATCTTGTGTGGCTAGAAGCCTTTTAGGTTCTTTTCTTAGTGGGAATTGAGGATAAAAGTGCGGGGGAAGGTTAGGTCACAGTCTTCAAGTGGTTGTAATTAATCCAGTGAAGTGGGTCAATAGATTTTGCTTCATAATAATTGTTTTTTTTGTCAGAAACTTTGAAATAATTGTATTTTTATCTTTGTGTCATTTTATTGTTCAAATGTTTCTCAATATCATTATGTCTATATTTGTAGATTCCTAGCCAACCAAATTTATCGCAGTGATACATGTAAATACATGTTTAGTCATCATTAGCAACAACAACAACATATTATCCATATATAACACCTCTAAAAAAATTTTGGGGAACAATCTTTGGGGCAAAAAGCCCATTTGTTTATTCCAGTAGACTGAAGACTCATTTATAGAGGGTTAGCCTTGACTTAAGGTAAATTTATTCACAAATTCCAGTGAGAAGAACACCTGTCTACAACTCTGTATGTTGTGTAAACTCAAATTTGTGCACTGTCTTGCTGATATTTGTGAATATTTTACTTTAGCTTGGGGCTAATACCATGTACTAATAAGTCTTCAGCACTAATTTATTTAGTGGCCACGACAGATTCGAAACTGGACTATTTCCAAGTGTTTTGTTAAACTGTTTTGTAGGCGTTGAAGATTTGGAAAATTATCACGGCAAAGCTCTTGGAGACAAAGGCAAAGCAGCTGTAGAGAAGCTGAAGGAAGGACTTTCTGATGACAAACATAACCTGGGCCCGCAGCCAGTTGTTGATGATGCACCTGCTGTAGATCTGTCACCTGGAACCATTAAGCTGTCTGAACCACCAAGTTACAAAATTGGAGATAAGGTAATTAAAGCCATTCATTTCTAAAGCACCAAGTTGGATCTTTGTCCTTTGAAGAGGAAACTGGCAAAAATCCTCTCAGAAACAAGTTGTTTTATACTGTGGTGCTTGTCCAAACTTTCTTATTGATCATGGCATTTGCCAAGTATTTTTGTTTTGTTTTACTCATATGCCACTAAAACGCATTGCAGACATGTACATTGTTGAGCACAGATGCTATTTAGCGGAGTTAGTTATTCTCTTGATTCAATGCATGCAGAATAAAAATTTTATCTGGTGCTTTGAGCAGGGTTCTTATTGATTTTAAAGAAGACGTCAGAGGATGTAAAAGTAGGTGGCTTGGCAATAATTATTGATTGCTGAAGGTAACGTCAGGATTCACTCAGCTCTCACTCTCCATTTTTCCTTTTTTTTTTCTGGTTTTCTAGTTTTGGTCCTTGTTGTTAGCACCAAATTTTTTTTTTCCCGAGAATGCCGAAACATTTAGATTCTCAAGAAACAAAATCAACTGTTTCTGTAGGGACCAGTCTTTAAGTGATTTGTTATGTAGCTGGAAATTCATGAAACGTTGCTTTAACTGCAGTGGTCAATCAACATTCATGGGTAACAGTGCACTGTTACCCTCTTATGTCATAGATTTTTGCAGTATTGCCTGCTCAGAGGTTTTGATGGGAAACAGTTTTATTGTTAGATATCATATAACCTTGAAGTAACCATTTGAGCGTGCAATGTCGGGAAGAAATTTCCAGCTATATAACAGTATAACACTGTTATATAATACCGTGAAACTTCCTGTAAGCAACCCATAAGTGGTTGCTTTTGGGAGATAGTTCTTTACAAGAATCCAACTACTGGGAGTCAATCTTCTGTAAAGGGGTGCAGACTCATCTACTTTAATATGGAAGATAACTTATTGTGTGCAATTTCCATGTTACAATATGATCAGCTCCATGTTGTCATTGAAATTTCTTAGTATACTGTGGCAGCATAGTAAATACAGTGAGTATAGATATCAGGTATAAAAAAACAATAGAAAATTCTAAAAACCTTTGCTACCAAAAGTGGTCATTGACAAGAGTTTCCTGGGGGGGACTTTCATATAAAAGAAACGGGGATGCTCATCTTCTCGCTTTGGGGTGCAAATTGCTGATTTTTGTCTCACTTTTGAAATGGATGTTCCCAACATTGTAAGCTGTGCTGCTAAAACTTTCAGCTGTGTGCCTAAAATTTTGGCAGTGTGCCTAAAAATTTACATCTTGTAGCAGAAGTGCTTAAGTTGTATCCAATGTCTTTACAGTGCGACTACTCGTACCGAGGCCACCCAGACAAAAATTTCAAAATTAATTCTTTACTGTTGGCTTTGATTCTGGCAAACCCAGACATTGTAAATTAAAAACAGTTTCAGGTTGATTTAGACAGACGTCACAATTCCTTATTTTTTATATCCTTTAGAAAAATGGTTCACAATGTATAAGTTGAACTGTCTCTGAGTACAAAATTATGCGCAATTTCATTGTTTAGATCTTGACTTGTGATTGGCTAATTTTAAAATTTGTCTCAAAATTTTGTCTTGGTGGCCTCGGTTTGTGTGGTCTCACTGTAAGATTGTTTGAATGATTCCAGTGATTCAGAAAGGTAGAATCAGCTAGTACAACAAATAACCCTTTATCCGTGCACTTTTTCAACATTCCAGGTTGCTGTGCGCAAGGCATATGCCAATGGTCTTATCAAACTGGGCAAGACTTGTGACCGGGTTATTGCTCTGGATGGAGACACCAAGAACTCCACATACTCTTTGGATTACAGAAAGGCCTTCCCTGGAAGACACATTGAGTGTTTTGTAGCAGAGCAGAACATGGTAGGAGTGGCCATGGGTTGTGCTGCTCGGGGCCGTGCCATCACCTTCACCAGCACATTTGCAGCATTCTTTACACGTACCTTTGATCACTTAAGAATGGCAGCGGTTTCGCAGACCTCAGCTAACTTCTGTGGATCTCACTGTGGCGTTTCAATTGGTATGTTTCTTTAAAGTAAGAAAGATTTTTTGAAAAAAAAATTGTAATGGGCTTTCTTTTCCCATGGGTTTCTAGTGAAGTTTCTCGTGTTTGCTACTCTGTATTCTTCACTATAAGTGACTACAATACTTGTAGCCTGTTCACAGGCCCTCTATTTTTTCTTCAAAGTTCATTGAGCGCACGTGATAAAAAATACCACCAAAGCAAGGGGCTAGGGGTGGGGGAAGAAGATAATAGATGGTCTTTGTTTTTCTTTCTCACACTCTGCGCTTGTTCTTGCACACTCGCCGATGTTTTCAAAAAGAACGAAAAGAAAAAAAACACAATGTCTGTGTACAGGCTACAATACTTGTCACATTTGTTGAAACACTTTTCACATTATGTCATCTCCAAAATTGGTTCATGTATTATGGGTTTGCAAATAAACAGGGCTCTCAACGTTTTGGGGAAGAAGAGAAAAAGTAAACACAGGGAAAAGTTAGATGATAAGTCAGTTGAGAAGGCGTGACATGAAAAATCCTCAGTTTCAGTTAAATGATTCAATGAAATTTGACAAGTATTGTTGTGTCCCTGTTCAAACTAAAAGAATCTCAAATATATGGGTAGGCAGCAACATAATGTAGGGGCCAGTAACAGGGCAGCTTCCTATCCACGTCACCAACATTTTGGTTTAAAAATAGGTACAGTGAGCTCTTTTTATTGTGGACACCCTTGGGACAGCAAGTTAGTGTCGGCAACAGCAAAAGTAATGGTAGAAGTTCATTTCAGACAAAATCTGTAACTAATTTTTGCCGAGAATTTGCCACTGTCCATATTACTGGGGCTCCTGTGCTAGCAAGGTTTGTGCAATGCAAGAGTTGACTGAGTGGGCTGCATGTGTGAACTGTTGTTGGCTCACATTAAGCTCTACATGGGAGCATTTTGTACCTTTTGGATTCCTGAGTGAGCTTAAATGCATGGGGATTGATTTCAGGTCTGAAAACGGGTATGGATTCTAGAGGCCAGGTCTGAAAACGTGTCTGGAAAATTACATTTTTTGGTCTGAAATAGGGTCAGGATTTGGAGAACCAGACAGCACACCCCCAACAAGAATTCCCAGGAGTTGCCCCTACCCCCCCCCCCTCCGCCCCCCTTAGGATTAGGTCACTTCCTTACAAACCTACATTGTAGCATACTAACTTGAACCACAGTATTTTGGGTGACACTGTTGACCTAAATTAAGAAACACCCTGAGACAACATTAATGTACATATTTCTTGAACTGTATTGGGTTATACCCTTAACCTGGGGCACACCCTGACATTCATAAAATCATTCGCCATCAACCTATTTAGAATCTAAGATAATACCTGCTTTTCAGGTTTTAATAAAATTATTGTATTCTAGTAACCATGTGGTGAAGAAACATGCTTATGTTTGTCTTAATTGGTTCATGATCAGGTGTGGACGGGCCTTCCCAGATGGCTTTAGAGGACATTGGCATGTTCCGTTCCATTCCAAACTGTGTGGTGTTTTACCCAAGTGATGCTGTCTCGTGTGAACGCGCTGTTGAGCTGGCAGCTAACTACAAGGACATGACCTTCATCCGTGCTACTCGAGGAAATACACCTGTTGTCTACAAGAATGATGAACAATTTGAGATTGGCAAAGCCAAGGTAAGACTGGAGAGATCATCTTTTGTTTTTGAGGTGGCAGTTGTGTTGAACAATGCATGGAGGACAGCCTTTGTATGTGGTCTTTCAGTAGCATTTTAAAAAACAATATTGAAGTTCAAGCAAGGCCTTGCACTACTGTCAAAAATTAAAAACTTAAAATAGTAGCTTTTTCCCATCAATGACATTATCAGGGAAAGGAGAACAAGGGGTCAGTCCAGTTCAATTCAGGATCTGCTATGTCTGAAGGAGATGAACGCCATGAATGCCATTTTCTCAGCGCTTGACCCGTTCAGCAATAATTTCAATGCACTGGATTGTACAAGTAACGAAGTTTTGTGTTGCAGCTATAGACCTTAATGACGTTTTTGGTGTAGGTAATAGCATGATTTGAAGTGATATATTTTGGCATAAATATGATGAGCGATATTTCGAAATTGTTGTACGTAATTTCACGAGCCGTTAGGCAAGTGAAATTTGAGACAATTTTGAAATATCACAAGTGGTATTTATGCCAAATATTACATAGAATTCATGCTATTATTTGATTATACTACAACCCGCAAAGGTTTTGTAATTTTCACCTGGACGTATTTCAAATTAAGCTGAAATACCACTGCTCTAAGTCAATCAAATTGCAGAAATTTCTCATGTAGTAGTGTAATAGGCGTAACCAAGTGTTTGTCATTTTAGAAAATAATAAAATATTGCACCTGCCAAATTTTGTAAACATGAGAATTTGAAAGAGAGCACTGCCATCATGTGATCAAAATGCAGCAACAAAAGAACCAAGCGATAAAATTGTCTCAAAAAGTCATGCACCTTGCACTTCGCTGATTTACATTCTCCAAAGAAACATAGAATTATTTAAACAATACCCTCTAACTTTCATAAGACAGCATGGTTTTATTTTACTTTTTGCTCATGTTATTGCTCTAAAACGAAGCAGAAACCAGTAAAAACAATTATGGAAAAGCCAGTCTGTCAAAAATAATAACTAATAAAATTATTAAATAACTAATAATAATAATAATTCTGTCATTAATAACAAAGCTGACTTTAAAATCCTATAACAATCAATTTTGCTTTAAAAAAACTACTCAGTCAAAGCACTTTTTACTATTCCTTTTGATTGAATTAGTTTTGATTTTAAAAAAATTCATTCAATTAAAAAAGAATTACTAGAATTGACAAACAGGAAATTAAATATAATAATAATAATAACAGTAACAGTAATAATAATAATAACTATTATTATTCATTCAAATTTTTCTCCATTTCTGATTGGGTAAAATCCCATGCATAATTCCATCATAACATGCTATTGTCAATCAAAGGTGGAAGAATTTTGCGATGTGTAAAAAATGATGTCAAAAGTGCAGCAAATGACAAAAAGGAAATTAAATATAATAATAATAATAACAGTAACAGTAATAATAATAATAACTATTATTATTCATTCAAATTTTTCTCCATTTCTGATTGAGTAAAATCCTATGCATAATTCCATCATAACAAGCTATTGTCAACCAAACATGGAAGAATTTTGCGATATGTAAAAAATGATGTGAAAAGTGTAGCAAAATTGCCAGATTATTGAAATGTTAACCGAGAAGACCCGGGGACAAGGCTGTGACTAGTACATGGCAGAACATTTCACTTGTTTCAAGAGTAAGAAATGGGCGAACTATTTGCTAAAAGCATAGCAAAAACGGCAAAAGACAACTCGACAGACGACACCTGCTGTTCACCTGAACAACCCTTTATTTCCTAAACTTGCCAATAAACATGCACTATTGACGATAAACTTAACATCAATGGAGGTAAGCATGCTTTAGCTTGTTTTTAAACTACGAATTATTTTGAATGAATAATAAAACAATTATTGAATTTGCCTTTCGTATCATCTGAAGAATTATGGATATCGAGGAGGGTGTTATCTACTTCAGCCTACCTCCTCAGGAGATAATACCCTCTTTGATCTCCATAATTCTCCAGATGATACTCAGCCTCATTCAATAATTTGTAATGAATCTTCTATTAAGTTCCCCAGGGGGCTTATTTCCTAAACCACGTTTGAAGGGGGGACTTAATAGAGAGGGGGCTTATTTAGTTTAGTAAAGATGAGGGAATAAATTCTCAATAAAACGCCAGAATGCAAAAGGCACTTAAAGCTGAAGGTCATGCAGCAAAAAATGCTACTAGCAAATATAAACTTTCAGAATATCAATAAGCCATACCGGATCAGTCCTCATGAAGTGTTAGAGTTGTGATTGAAAAATACAGTCTATCATTTAAAAAAAGAGGAAAAGGGGCGGCTTAAAGACAAGGGGGAAGGGGGCGTAATAACTTTCTTCCCCAGCAAAGGGCGACTTATCAGAGAGGTACGGAATTTAACACCCTAAGCGCCACTCACCTATCAGAAATTTAAGGGACTACACTCCCGGGCTTGAATGACTGATTGAGAGTCCTTTAGTGTTTTTTTCTACGATAAGCTTAGCTTACAGCACTCGCTTTGTTGGCTGTAGATTGTTCGTGAGAGTGATAAAGATTCAGTACTAGTTATTGGAGCTGGTGTTACACTGATTGAAGCAATCGAAGCTGCTAAAGAACTTGAAAAGGAGGACATCAAGATTCGGATCATGGACCTCTTCACCATGAAGCCAATTGACAAGGAAGCCATCATACAGCATGCCAAGGCTTGTGGTGGGAAAATACTCACTGTAGAGGATCATTATCCTGAAGGTATGTTATGTATGTTTCTTAACCCTTTAAGCCCTAAGAGTTATCAACATCAAATTTCTGCTTGTAATATCCATGCTTTGTAAAACAGATTGGTCATGAGAATTACGGACATGATGACACAAGATGAATTTGCTTGATATTTTATCAACTTCTCCCCACTTCTTCTGTGCGAAATGAATAGGGGCAACAAATGAGAATTCAAAGTTTGATCTTAGGGTTTAAAGGGTTAAAGGGGCTTTGTCACGAGGATACTACTGTTTTTGGTCAGTTCTGTGCTGAAATCAGTACCAGATCAAGACCTTGAGATGGGGGCTGGTGTCCAAAAAAACTTTTTTCCGTCTTTCGGGTCTCAGTTTGGTCTCAAAATAAGGGGGGCCCAGGCCCCGCGGCCCCTCCCCTGGATCCGTCACTGGAAGTCATAGGTCAACCACAAATATGTACTGCTCAGTAGCTTTTATTTCAATGATAACACCTTACAGGTTTGTCCAGACTCAAAAGATAGAGTCACCTTGCTCAGCATAGCAAGTAGTACCACAAGAAAGCACTGCTCAGTAGCTTTCATTTAAGGAGTCACACTTATTTTTTTGTCTTTTCCTTAGGTGGTCTTGGTGAGGCTGTTATTGCTGTTGTGGCAAAGGAGAAGGGGGTGATTGTGGAGACATTAGCCGTGAGAGAGATCCCACGTAGTGGCCCTGGAGATGTTTTGTTGGATCAGTATGGAATTGGTGCCAGAACCATTGTCAAGACCGTCAAGAGCATGTGAAGGACATAGTCCTTGGATAACCATACGTACACACTGTGCTGGTATTAAAGTTCAGTGTCAGGCAAGATAAGACATTGCTTCCTCTTGTCACTTAGCATATTTTAGAAATTTTGAGCTTGGATTAGAAAAATGAAATTACTTGTCCTGCATTAACCCAGGTAAAGAGCATTAATTTTATGTTTTAGGAGTTATAATTGTGCATGGAGATTATCCTAAAACAGGTGTGCACCTTTTAACTTTGGACCGGTTGTAATAAAAATGTCAACAATAGTAAGAAATGCAAGGAAAATAAAATGCGTGTTGAATTAAGCAATGAGATCACGTCATAATCTTTGCTTCCTACACCTCGTCTAGCAAAATACCGACATGGGTAGTTCAAACCTTTAAGATATTTTCAAAAACGTGCTGAGAGTTTTTTTTGGTAAAAAAATTGAAATTTTTCAATCTTTTTATTTTAGGCAAAAAAGGCCAGGAAATTGTGTTTGGCCATATTCTACAAAAAAACAAAAAGCCTTCCTAGACTATAAAAGCAAGAAGTTAAAAAAGTCGAAAACTTGGGATTTTTCCAAAGGGGGTTAGTCCTTGGTTTTGGTCACAAATTTTAAACATTTCCATCTTTTTTATTCTAGGCATAATAGAACAAGAAAATGTGTTTCACACCTTCTTAGACGAACAACAAGAAATTTCAAAAAGTTTAAAAATTGGCATTTTTCCAAAGGGGTTAGTCCATGGATTTGCTCCAAAATTTGAAATTTTTCCATCTTTTTATTTTTGGCAAAAGAGGCCAGAAAATGTGTTATAGGATATTCTAGAAAGAAAAAACGCCTTTCTGGACTATAGAAACACCAAGTTCAAAAAGTCGAAAAATTGGCATTTTTCCAAACCCATGGTTTTGGCCAAAAATTGGCCATTTTTCCATCTTTTTTTAGGCAATATAGGCCAGGAAAATGTCTTTTACGATATTCTAGAAAGAAAAAACGCTTTTCTAGACTATAAAAACCAGACGTTCAAGAAGTCAAAAACTGGGATTTCTCAAAGGGGTTAGTGCATGGTTTTGGTAAAAAATTGGCAATTTTTCCATCGTTTTATTTTAGGGAAAAAAGGCCAGGGAAATGTGTTTCACGATATTCTAAAAGCAAAAACGCCTTTCTACACTATAAAAACAAGAAGTTGAAAAAGTGGAAAAATTTAACATTTTTCCAAAGGGGTTATTCCATGGTTTTTTGTCAAAAATGGGCAATTTTTTCATCTTTTTGTCTTAGGGAAAATAGGCGAGAAAAATGTTTCACGATATTCTAGAAAGAAAAAACGCCTTTCAAGACTATAAAAACAAGAAGTTCAAAAAGTCCATAAACTGAGATTTTTCCAAGGCGGTTAGTCCATGGTTTTGGTCACCAAATTGGCAATTTTTTTATCTTTTTATTTCAGGCAAAACAGGCCAGGAAGTGTGTTTACGATATTTTAGAAGGAGAAAACGCCTTTCTTACCTATAAAAACGGTATTTTCCGTTTATCCCCGTCATTTTCCCGTTAACCGTCACGAAAATTTACCTGTGTATTTTCTGTCATCAATTTTGTACTCTTAGTACCAACTTTCACTGAAGGAAAAAATTCGACAATTTTAGGTTATTCCTGTCGAATTTACCGTCATGTGTCATTTTTCTTCCCCGCTTATTTTCTGTTTTTATTTTCCTACTAAAATTAACTTAAATTAATCTTAAAAAATGACGTTGACACTCTCGTGCGTCACATTTATGATTAATTCCCTTATTTTTTTTACCCTGTTTATTTTTTTGTCTGTTTTTTACTACAATAATAGCGTAAATAATCATGAAATATGACGGTGATACCCTTGGCCGTCAACTCGCGGTGCTCGTTTCCGTGCAAGGGGGAATAAACAGAAAATAGCACTGATGGATTTAGAGGGAATTGTATTCAAACACAGTAAAAAAAAGCTGAGTAAACTGAACTCAAAATACTGAGTAAATCGTTGCATCCATAGTGACCCATTATAGTGAGTAAACTTGAGCAGAAATACTGAGTAAAGATTACTCACTAGCATAAGTAAGTTTACTCAGAATGAGTAACTTTACTCACAAGTTTGAGTTGAAAATACTCAGTTATCGAGTACAAATAACTCAAAAGTAGAGGTAAAATTACTCAGGAGAAAAGCATCCATGGTGACTCTTTATTTTGAGTAAAACAGCCAATTACTCATAATTTGAGTTAAGGCTACTCTAAATTTTGAGTTAAATCAAATTTTACTCTGTCAATGAGTTAAAACAATACCTAAATAGCCGAGTAAAGAAAATGATTATATTTACACAAGTAAGTAAAAGTGAGTAAAAGTGAACTTCACTTCAAATGAGTACAAAAAAAACCCTGTTAGCAATGGCAGATCCTTATGCCTGCCTGGAAAAGTTTCAAATGTTTTTTGTAATACACAGACTGGCAAGGACCCATGGGTTTAACTTAGTCCACACTGTACATACTTACTGATTTGAGAACGGCAACTATAGTAAGCAGTTAATGCCAAACAATAAGCAAATTATCTTTCAGTGTTTCTTTACATTTTTTATTATCTCATTCAGGCTTTAACATCTTCAGGTAGTGGTGACATTTTTCCATGTCAGGCAGAGTTTGGTAGACAGCATGACAATTTAGTAATTACATGCCCATTCAATATTTAGACTTGCAGACTGGGTGCTCTCAACTAACCAAAGAAAAATGGAAATGTCATAACATGGCTGCAAAAGATTATATTTTCAAAAGAACATTTATCCTAGTAACTCATCATTTAAGTTCAATGGATAAACAAGAAACAAATTTTTGTAAAATTATGCACATTTCATGAATGGTGCCATGGTGACCAAAACACTTAAGTAAATTTGATGCATCCCAGAGCTGTGATAGTGGACACAACAACGTCTAAGAATGTGATCGTAAATCTTGTTTGAATAAGAGGTCCATCCAAGAGTCGTGACCAGTTTCTTTGGTGGACAGAAAGCTTTTTCTTAAAATTTCTGTATTAAATGAACATTTTAACTGAAATTCTATAAATTTTTGCATTGAATGTACCCTTTGCCACAGATAAAAATTAAACCTATTCAGTTCATGGTTTAATACATTAACAGTCTATTCAATTAGTGCAGCTGTGTTCAACTTGGATGATATGTTTCCCTCAAATTTGCAAGTTGAAGTACAAATGGGGTTCTTCAGCAGACTCCTCATGCACCACCTTAAAATCAGGACAGGAAGGGCAATCTCTCTTCTTCTGCTATGCTCTAGTTTAAAAGTGTTTGTTTCTGCCTATAAACAAAAGAAAGGAAGATTAATAAATAAGTTGAAAGGTCAATAGTACTACAGGGGGCCCACACAATCTCGCAGTGTGCATAACCGATTGTTATTTTATAGTAAATGTACTGGATTTACCATTTGCTTCACTTATGGCTATAAATCACTTACTATGTATATAAATCGATGTTAAATAAACGCTGTCAACGGCGAACTCAAAATCCTTCAAAATTGCTCAAAAAACCGCTTTTGAGGCAAAAGGACGCAAATACACATACACCAAAGGTAAGGTAATTCAACATTTATTTATTTCGATTTATATACATGGTAATTTATCGCTACAGGTGAAGCAAACGGTAAATCCAGTGTATTTACAAAAAAATAACAATCAGTTACACACATTGCGAGATTGTGTGGGTGCCCTGTGATAGTACTTGTGTATGTTATAAATACAGGTTAGTTTTGATTTATCCTAGGTTAATTTTCAATGTCCTTTTTCTCCTAGCCCTAATAATTTATTAGAGCTAGGAGACAGAGGAAATGAAAGAGAATCATTCTTAAGTACATGAATTCAAAATTAACCTAAAAGTAACTTCGATCTGTAAGATATGCATGCTTTTATTTGAAGCTGTTTTTTACTACAGCAAAGGCATAACTGGCTTTTACTGGCCACACTGCAATTGAAGGAATACTCCATAGGACCCAGGAAATTTTTCTCAATCAAAGTTGAAAATTCCTTGAACAGACATGTAATTACCACTAGGTCCTGGTAATTCAAATGTTGGATAAGCACTATCCACTATCTATCCACCAGGCCCCAGTTGTTCAAATGCTGGATATAGCGCCATCAACTGGATAATATTAGGGAAATCAAGTGCGGCAATATTCAGCAGCAGATAGTGTTATCCACATCTTGAACAACTAAGGCCCTGAGCACTGCAATACTGCAGTTATAGGCAATATCGCAGCAGATTTGATTGATAATCATAAAATCATGACAGTTAGCTCTCTCTCACTCAACACACAAAGTGAGTCATTTTCTTGAAATGGCTATCACATGGAGCTTAATACAAGTATATTTTTTGAAAAGCACCTTAAATTAGTGGCTGTTGTCATCATGGAGAGGTGGCCTTGAGGGAATGTATGGAATATCCAATTCCACTGGAATTAGAAAAAGTGGTCATTGGTAAAGAGGTAAATATAACTAAACGTTTGTCTGTTATTATAAAAAGACAAAACTAAAAAAGGAGATAATTATTTAAAGATGTCATATTATACAATGGAACCTCTATTCAGGGGAAACCCTTGCGACCAAGGCAAGTGTAATAATTAACCAACAAATAAAATTTTTTTCTTTTATCCTGCCTTGGAATCAGTACTGCTGCAGTTATTATTTCAAGCAACTTATGTCTAAAAAATTATTATTAACTTACCTCTGCAATGTTGTGTGTTGAATTCTCACAAGTACAGTGCAACTGATTTAATGTTTTGAAAGCTGTCGCAATTGTGACTAGTGAGCACTTGAATTTATTAACGTTTTTGTGCACAGTCACCTTTTGAATGCCCCCCTGAATCCCTTGAATGGAGGTCAAATGCGGGTTTCGGGATCCAGGTAAAGTTTCCCTTTCCCCCAAATAGAGGTGTCCCTTCAATAGAGGTACAACTGTTACAACGACAAAGATTGTGTGAAAATGTTTCCGGGACCAA